GGCGAGTGAATATTAGGGAGGTGCCCTGGGGGAGGGGAGGGAGAGGAGGCAGGCAAGGAAGGGAAATATCTGCAGCGGCCCCAGCTGATGTACACCTGAAGAATCAGAAACGGCCGTAGTTGCTGTCAAGAGAGGACAGGTGGGCTGCAAGTTGATGGACGTAAGGCCTCCGCAGCCCACCTGTCTGCGTTCGACAATATCTGCAGCGGCCCCAGCTGATGTACACCTGAAGAATCAGAAATGGCCGTAGTTTGCTAAGCGTTTTCTCAGAAATTTGCTGCTACTCCCAACATGAACCTTGGTGCCCTGGGGGAGGAGAGGGAGAGGAGGCAGGCAAGGAAGGGGAAATATGGAGGGAGGGAAGCGCGTGCGGGGTTGGCAAGCCTGGCTGCATGCATTCCGTTCATTGGCGTGACGAGTCGATGATGTGATGCGACGAGAGTTTGAAGTAGTGTTTTGAGACGTCTCCGAAAACACTGCTTCAAACACGTGACGAATGGCGGGAGGGAAGCGCGTGCGGGGTTGGCAGGCCTGGCTGCATGCATTCCGATCATCGGCGTGTCGAGTCGATGATGTGATGCGACGAGTGAAGGGGTGACTTTTGAGTCGACTCAAAAGTCACCTCGTTAACAGGCCTGACTGGCTGCATTCCGTTCATCGGCGTGGCGATTCGATGATGTGATGCGACGAGTGAAGGGCAGAGGGGTGTGCCCTGAGGGGGGAGATGAGGGCGGAAGGGGTGAGGGGTGGCTTTTGAGTCGACTCAAAAGTCACCTTGTGACGAGTGAAGGGCAGGGGGGTGTACCCTGAGGGGGGAGGGGAGGGCGGAAGGGGTGAGGGGTGGAGGGAGCCTGCTTTTGAGTCGACTCAAATAATGTGGTGCGACGAGTTTTGAGTCGACTCAAATGATGTGGTGCGACGAGTTAAGGGCAGGGGGGTGTGCCCTGAGGGGGGAGATGAGGGCGGAAGGGGTGAGGGGTGGAGGGAGCCTCCCACCGTGGAGGGGAGCGGAGGGGAGAGGAGAGTGGAAGAGGAGGGAGAAGAGGGAGAAGAGGGAGAAGAGCGGGGTGGAAGGGGGAAAGTGGGCAAGTGGGCATGCATGATCGAAAAGGTGCACGCAGCAACAGTGTTTAGGCGCCTCACAAGTCGCAACAGACATGAATGCAGACGCGGGAAGGGAAGCAGCAGGAGTGGGAGTGGGAGTGGGAGTGGGAGTGGGAGTGGGAGTGGGAGTGGGAGTGGGGGTGGGAGTGGGATTGGGAGTGGGGAGTAAGAGTGGGAAGTGGGAGTGGGAATGGGAGTGGGAGGGGAAGTGGGAGTGGGACGGATGATGGTTGCAACAATTCAACTCTGAAATCTGCACTCACATGATCTGCGATGTGGCGAAGAAACGACGGCTGAGATGCAAGCACCTCCTCGGCAGACCGAGCCTCCAGTTTAGGCTCGGACACACACCGAACCAGCCTCGCCGCCCTGGCTCTGCCATTCCTCGAGCCAGTCCTCCGAACGTCCTTCGCAAAAGAGAGGAGCGAGTGGAGCAGGAAACGGGGGAAGAACGATCGAGTCGGTTTCTTTGGATTTCAAAACGCCGATGGGGAAACGGCATGGGAGGTTTAGGGGAGTCAAGTTGGCTCGCTGATGGGGGGTAAACACTTGGCGCGTTGCTGAGCGCGAGAGAACTGCTTAACTGCTGATTGACGAGGTGAATTCCAGTAACTACGAGCGACGGTTGTTAATGCGCTTAGAAGAAAAGTCAACCAATTAACTGCTCGAATTCTAACTGACTTACCGCGGCCCTACTGGACAGGCCGCCCGCGACGGTTCGCGAAAATTCGCGGGCGTGGTTACTGGCTGCGCTACGGTTACTGGACCAGTAAGCGGAGCGGGCGGGGGAGACGGAGGAGATTTGGGCAGTACACGCAGACATGGTGGCGCGTCGCGATGATATTTAATTCCTTTGTCTGCCGGGACTCAAGGCCGACTGGATCCGCGAGAGCTCGTCGTCGTAATGCAACAAGAACCTAACGAAGACTTCACTTAGCGAATACTGAGGAATAAGGGCGCGTGTCTTTTGGTGTAGAAGTTCGAAAAAAAGGTCGAACTTTTGCTGGTAACCAGCTTCGTCAATTTCGTACAGAGCTATTGACGACGAACGTGTGTCCAAGCTCAAAGTTGCTGAAACAGAAGGACACTGAACTAGGGTCGACCTCGCATTCGACTATCCCCGAGCACGTTTCTCCAATCGTGTGTTCTTCGAAGAAGCTGCGAGATTCGCGATGGTTACGAACCACGTCGCGCCAGATTACCAGAGTTGAAAGTGCTAACGAACTCACTGTATAGACAGGGTAACCTACGAAACTTGGTGCGACTCGGATTTTACTGTACAAATTCGACCTTTGAAAGTCGAGCATTTCTTGTGCCATGTGCTCCACGTCAAGGTGAACACGCGACTCGACAATGAAATGACGAGATAGTCGACTACAGGTCGACCTGTGTTCAATTGCAAAAATTCGACTAAAAAACATGAACTTTGGCCTAAATTTCAAAAGACACGCGCCCTAAGTGCTGCATTCCTCTCCTCTCGTTGCCGAGTTGATCCAGCAGGAGACTGACGTTCTGTTGTGATCAGATGGTGACAAATTCTGTCAGATTCACATATGGTGGGAAGGATGGTATGGGAGGTCAGATTCACGGTACACAGAGGTTGTACACGAAACGAGTAATTTATAAGACGGTTTAAAACGGTAGGTGTTTGAATTTGGAACAGGTGCAGGAAGCACCAACCCCTGAAATTCTTGACAGGAAAAGTCCGGAGAGTTTTGGCGCCAGTTTAAACCATTAAAAATCAATAGCTTAGATATATAAGATTAACAGGTCGGTGTAGTTTAGTGGTTAGAATCCCACGTTGTGGCCGTGGAGACCTGGGCTCGAATCCCAGCACCGACACCACTTTTCTCGTTCTTTTTTTTTCTTTTTCCATGCCAAGCAGGTTCTCCTTTAGACCTGTTTCCCATAATTTAAAACCTGAAAATGTCAACTTCATACAATGCTGGGCTTACCGGAGGCTAGTATAGCTCCTCAGAATACTAGGAAATACTTCTTCATACAATAAAGCAGGAATAGAAAATGTAGACATTGGATGCGCAGATCAGAAAGTGCATCATACTATTTGATATCTCAAAAAGAGAAACCTAAAAGAGGATCTCAATCACAATCAGTATGAACCTACAACCCATACATGTCTCTCACACCTTTTGGTACAATCTTGCCACACCCTTTAACAGATAAGCTGTGTAGCATCTTGAGCTGGGTAAAATCCTCCGGCAGAGCAGCCAACTCCTCGCATCCATCCTCCGGGAGCTTCCACATCCAACCAGTATTTTGGACTGTCAAACGGCGGAGCTTAGAAAGGGATTCAAGAGGCAACGGAAACTGCTTTGTATATGAGACGAACTCCAGCTCTAAGTGCTCTAGAGAGGGCAGAGTCAAGCCAGCGGCCAGCCCACCCTTAAGCACTTCACTGGTCGAGCTCAACTCCCTCAGCTTTGGAAGTGCAGGGGTTTCCAGCAGAGAGGTGAGTCGCTCGAAACTCCCTAAAGAGAGAAGCTCGAGGGAGCAGGGCAGGGATCCCGATACTTCTTCTAGCCGGGGGAGCTTGGCTAGTGCCAGATTTTTCAGCCTGCTAAGGTTGCTCAAGCTGCTGGGGATTGCAGTGAGGCTATCGCAGTCCACAACTTTGAGAACCTCTAGGCTGATAAGGTCAGTGAGAGACCCTGAAATCTTCTGTGGGACAGGATTGGATGGTCAGTGCCCGCAGGTTACTCAGCTTCCCCACGTCCTCCGAAAGTTCTTTTAGTATCCTGCACTGGGTGATATGGAGACTTGTGAGGGAAGACAGCTGCGTGAACGAGGATGGAAGCAGCAGCAGCGAGAAACTTCCTGATAACCGGAAGGTGTGGAGGTTGGTGAGCGAGCCTATGTCGTCTGGGAGCCTCAGGTCTGAGTCGAGGATACTCAAGGAGTTGAGTGCGGTGAGACAACCGAACCTTGCAGGCAGCTCCGGGATTTCGTCGCAGTGAGACAGGCAGAGGGATTCCAGGGATGTCAATTGGGTGAACGAATCTGGAAGGCTCGACAGAGGCAAGAGGTTCAGCGTCAACGTTTTCAGGGAGGGCAGATTTCCAAAGTTTTCGGGCAGCTCGAGAAGTTTTTCGCATCCGCACAAGCTCAGTTCGCGAAGGCCTGGCAGTCGTTCGCCAATGTCGTCAGGAAGCCGCTCGAGGCTGTCGCAGCCTCTGATAAGCAACCGCTCTAGACGAGTAAACGAATTTCCTGATGGAAACAACAGCTCGAACCGCGGAGACCACGTCTCGAACTCCAGGGCTTTCAGCGAAGGCATCTGGGTGAATGAAAAGGGGTTAGATGCTTCTCCGATTTCTATAGTAGGGCATGTGTTGTCGAATAAAACGAGGGTGGATACGGCTGGGAGATGCGCGAGGCTCGCGAGATTCACATCTTCCACATCCGGAATACCGATGGATAGGGCGATGAGAGAAGTCAGGTTTGTGAATCCAGGAGCTTCGAGAAGCGAGCCTTCGGTGAGAGCGAGAGTGTGAAGGTTGGTGAGCAGCGAGAGAGAATCCGGCAGCGCGCCGTAATAATGCAAGGAGTAGAGAGAGAGGTGCTGCAGCTGAGTGCAGCGGCGGATAAATCGGTCCAAACCGGTTTCGGTCACGGGATGCTCTTCCGGCCGAAAATATTCCCATCTCGACGTGATCTCCCTCCCCACGTGTAGCGACACTAGATTAGGGCATGAGGAAGCGAGGAAATCGAAAAACGCGTCGTTGATGGTTTCTACGCTGTTGTCGCTGAGATGCAGATGGGAGAGGTTTGGAAAGCAGTTGATGGCTGCGGTGAGATCGTGAAGCAATACGGCTATGTTTTTCTTCACAACGAGCATTGAGACCTCATGGCGAGCCACGCGACGCCAGCGCTTGCAGATGGACGCTATGAGGAGATTATGCGCTGGATCTGTAAGGATACTAGGAGCTGACAACGGACTAGTCGTAATAGTAGTGGTAGTAGTACTACAAGTCCGTGAGGACGGTCCGAAAGAGCCTTCTGATGTGTTGGGATCGTCGCCGTACGGGTTTTCGGAGGTGTACTTAGGTCGTGGCAAGATGGAATCCATTGAATCACTCCTGTTTTCGGATTGACGGCGAGCAGGGACGTGCTTTTGATACCAGAAGATCTTAGCGAGGAGGTCATCTGAGAGGGTGTTGATGTATGAGGGAGGCATGGCTTCTGAGCTATAAACGGCTGACATGAAGAACGAGCTTCTGTGGTTCTAGTGAGTACGCACTAGTTTCTGTCCGTGGAAAGAACGCAGGAAAGAACGCGAGTTTAGGAAGGTCTAACAAGCTACGAAGGCTTCCTGACTCTGACGGTTTACCCTACCAAAGCTCTGGCTTTGTCCCCAAAGGAAGAAAGAATGAAATGAACGTAGCGAGAGGTGAATGGGATTGGAGGAGGAGGTGACGGCTTCGACCTAATCCTTGAAACTAGAACTGGGGTCTTCCCAATCTTGAAACTCGGGACCATCGTTCGTGTTACCACATTGTCGCGCGAGATGTTCGGTACTGCTCATCCTGTGTTCGAGATGCTCGCGAACAGAACTTGTAATGAACAGTAAGAATGTTACGGTGTGGAATCTCTGACTGGCTGTGAGCAGTGTGACATCGTTTCCAGTTTCGCGATATTTGCATCGCCAGAATTTCCTACAGATTGCCAACGTTCCTCAAGAATTGAAACATCGCGAATCTGGAGTTTTATTCAAATGTACCGCGCCTCATAGCGAATTGTCAGTTCGAAATGGAAGAGTGGGTGGGTGGAAAAGAGCGGGAACAGCAGACTTTCTAGACCGTATCGCCTTTCAGGCGGCGTGTCAATTGAGTTCAGTCTTACGAGGGTGCAGGAAGGTTCAGGTATTTGTGGGTGGGTGTGGGTAGGTGCGGGTAGGTGCTGGTAGAGGGGCGACTTGTGAGGCAGCTCAAAAACACCAAATGGGTGCGGGTACGGAGGCGACTCTCAAGGCGGCCCAAAAAGCACCACCAAACACATGATAGATGGGTAGGTTCGTGCATGTCCTTCCTGCTGCTGCTGCATCCGTTTCTTCAGAAAGCAGATTCAGCAACAGCATCACCAGTTTCCACGCGATAAAAAGTAGCATGTTGAGACGTCTCAAAACAAATTTAGCAGCAGCATCACCAGTTTCCTTGAAGAGACGAGGGTGAGCACTTTTGAGGCGCCTCAGAAGTTGAATACTTGCGAGCGGTCATCGATGCTGCGCTGAATCTTTTTCTGACGCTGTTATCCACCTCCTCCTCCAACCCCCCCCCCCCCCCCCCCCCCCCGCCCTTTTCACCCCCTCGTGCATTGAGGTGTGTTTTGAGGCGCCTCAAAACACCCTTTTGAGGCGCCTCAAAACACACTTTTGAGGCGCCTCAGACGTTGAATCAATGCTGCGGTGAATCTTTTTCTGACGCTGTTATCCACCTCCTCCTCCAACCCCCCCCGCCTGCCCTTTTCACCCCCTCATTCCCCAACCAGGGTGCTCCAGGCGTGACCTTCTCGTCAGTCCTTTCGGAACTAAGGGCTTGCATCTTTGTTGTTGAAGCAGAAGCCGTTGCTACTGCTGTGTCTGTCCTTCCCCCCTCCAACCACCCCACTCCCCCCTCTGCATACCACAACAACCCCCCTGAAGCTGCTGCTGCTGCTGCTGCCGCTGCTGCCGCTGCTGCTGCTGCTGCTGCTGCTGCTGCTGCTGCAGCTGCTGCCGCTGCTGCTGCTGCTGCTGCTGCTGCTGCTGCTGCTGCTGCTGCTGCTGCTGTAATCTCAGTACCAACACCCCTCCCCCGGCATCCCCCACTTCCCAACCAGGGTGATACAGGCGTGACCTTCCCCTCTGCCCTTGATGAGCTAAGGGCTCGAATCCATGCTGCTGAAATCTCTGCTGCTTCTGCTGCAATCTCATCTCAGTCCCAGCACGCACGCGTCCTGCTGCGTCCTGCGTCTGGACGCAGCGTCCAGACGCAGAGACGCAGGACGCACCCCGTATTTTTTTTCGGGCTGACCGAAAAAAAAATTGCCCCAACGTGAAATTGACTTCAACGATTTCGATGCGACTGTCAATTTCGCGTCATGTCGACCCCCCCTAACCCATTTCGACCATGAAAAACACCTTAGAGGGTTTACCAAGACAATTCTCCTTCGTAAACCCTAAACCCTAAAAATTTGAAGGGGACGATTTTGCCTCAAATGTGTGCATCGTCGTTCCCCCCCCCCTTCCCATACCCTATAACATCATTTTTTGGCTGCCCGGGGGTTTTTTTGCCCTGCCCGGGCATGCGTCTTTTCATGCGTCATAAAGGCCCTCCTCTAGCGTCCTGCGTCTAAGATGCTGCGTCTGGACGCAAGCGTCCTAGACGCAGGACGCGTCTTTCTCCACTCAGCCCCTCCCCTCCCATCCTCCATCTTGAGGCGCCTCAAAATGCACCTCCCAGCACCCCTCCCCTCCCATCCTCCATCCCCAACCAGGGTGCTCCAGGCGTGACCTTCCCTTTCTGTCCTTCAAGAGTTGAGGGCTCGCATCGATGCTGCTGAAACAGACACCACATCTTATTGTCTTCCCCACTCCTTCCGCTGTCTTTCCACTCCCCTTCCATTCCCCAACCAGGGTGCTCCAGGCGTGACCTCCCCTTTCTGTCCTTCAAGAGCTAAGGGCTCGCATCGATGCTGCTGAAGCAGAGGAGGGTGCTGCTGCTGTGTGTGCCCTCCGCCCCTCCTCCAACTACCCCACTCTCTCCCTCTGTTCCACCCCCCCATTACCCAACCAGGGCGCTCCAGGAGTGACCTTCCCGTCCGTGCTTTCAGAAATGAGGGCTCGCATTGATGCTGCTGAAGCAGAGGGGGAGGTCCCAAGGCACTTCATCCTCTCTCCTGCTGTCGGCCCGGTGGGTAGGGGGAAGGTTAGGGAAGAGTTGAGAGGAGTAATGATGATGATGCTGAGGCAGAGGGGGTCGTACCAAGGCACTTCATCCTCTCTCCTGCTGTTGGCCCGATAGGTAGGAGTGACGGCTAGGGTGGAAAGGGGTGGGGAGGAGTTGAGAGGAGTAGTTATGATGCTTAAAGCGGAGGGGGATGTCCCAAGGCACCTTTTGCCTGCTGTCGGCCCAGTACGTAGGGGGGAGGGGTACAGGAGTGGGGAGGAGTGGGGAGGAGTGGGGAGGAGTGGGGAAGGGTGGGGAGGGGTGGGGAGGGGTGGGGAGGGGTGGGGAGGAGTGGGGAGGAGCGGGGAGGAGTGGGGAGGAGTGGGGAGGAGTGGAAAGGGTGTGACCTTTCCATTGTTTCCTTGGAGAAATGAGGGCTCCCTGATGCTGCTGAAGCAGAAGGGATTATTGGCACTTTATCCTCTCTCCTGCTGTTGGCCCGGTAGGTATGTCGAGGGGAGGGCTGGGGAGAGGTGGGGAGGAGTTGGAAGGAGTGGGAAGGAGTGAGGAGGAGTGGGGAGGAGCAGGGAGGAGTGGAAAAGGAATCATCTTTCTGCTCGGTCCTTGGAGCAATGGGGGTTTGTATCGATGCTGCTGAAGCAGAGGGGGTTGTCCCAAGGCACTTCGTCCTCTCTCCTGCTGTCGACCCAGTAGGTAGGTAAGGGGGAGGGGTAGGTAGGGGAGTGGAGTGGCGAGGAGTGGAGAGGAGTTGGGAGTAGTAAAAAAGGCGTAATCTTCTCCTCTATCCTTCCCCACCATGTCACCATCCATGCCACCACCACATCCACAGGAGACCATAACAGGGCCCACGTGTAAAGAGGTTAAACGAGGAGACCATAACAGGGCCCACGTGTAAAGAGGTTATTTTTGAGACGTCTCAAAATTAACCTCTTTACACGTTTTGAGACGTCTCAAAAATGACGTCTTAAAATAGGGGTTATCTTCTCCTCTATCCTTCCCCACCATGTCACCATCCATGCCACCACCTGGCAGGAGACCATAACAGGGCCCACAAGGCTCAAAGACAGCAGCGCCACCAAGGTCCTTCTAACTCACCCCCACCCCCTTTCATGTTGATTTCCCTACCTTCCCCCACTCGTATCCTTTGCCGCTGCTAAACATCCACAGGAGGCCATCACAGGGTCCACGAGGCTCAAGGGCGGCGGCAGTGCCACCAAGGTCCTCCTGGCTGAAAGGAGTCTGGCCGCTCATATCCCTTCTCTTCCCTTCCCTCCCCGTGTGCTAAACAACCACAGGAGACCATCGCAGGGTCCAAGAGGCTCAAGGGCGGCAGTGCCACCAAGGTCCTTCTTCTAAATCAACCCTACCTACCCCATTACTGTCATGCCGCCATCTCACCCTCCCACCATGCCACGACGCAGGAGGCCATAACAGGGTCCACGAGGCTCAAGGGCGGCACTGCCACCAAGGTCCTTCTGGAGACCATCTTCAGCCGAGCCATCGCCAGGGTGCTGCGCCTGCCTGCTCTGGGAAGCTGTGAGTGTGTGTGGGGGCGCGTGTGAGCGAGTGTATTAGGGCACTTGAGCCTCAAGGGCGGCAGTGCCACCAAGGTCCTTCTGGAAACCATCTTCAGCCGGGCCATCGCCAGAGTGCTGCGCCTGCCCGCCCTTGGCAGCTGTGAGTGTTAAGGGTCAGCGGTATGAGTAGAGACATGGGGCTGTGACAGCAGGCAGCGCGACCAAGGTCCTTCTGGATGGAAACCATTTTCAGTCGGGCCATCGCCAGAGTGCTGCGTCTGCCCGCCCTTGGAAGCTGTGAGTGCTGGCAGTCGAATGAGGCGGGCGTATGGGGGAGTGTATGAGTAGAGGCTGTGGGGCTGATGTTGTGGTGGCTGGCAGTGCTGCATATAAAGGTCCTTCTGCCGATTCTCTTTTGAGACGTCTCAAAAGCCGTTGTGAGCGGTGACTACCGGGGCAAAAAAACCAAACAAACAAACAAAAGAAGATGCCATGTTTTTGCACCTTCTCTGATACACGTCCCTACCAAACCCACCTATCATTCCCCCTCTTTTCCCGCCTTCCTCGTCTTCTCTCCGTGCCCCCACTCCCACTTTCCTCCTCACTGTCAGATGCAGGAGTGCCCCTCTTGCTCATCAACCCTCTCGCAGATTCCCCCCTCCCCTTCCCCCTGTTCCCCCCATATCAGATGCAGGAATACCACTCCTACTCATCAACCCTCTACTGGAGCTCACTCCCCAAGATACCAAGTGGCAGAAATGATATGTGAAGAATTTCTGTACTCTTAAAGCTCACTCCCCAAGATACCATGTGGCAAAAAAGAAAAAGGACTCTATGTCACTCCCCCCTTTCCATCCTTGTGCCCCTCCCCATCCCCCCTCCCCTCCTTCCCCACCCCCTATCAAATGCGGGAGTGCCCCTTCTACTCATCAACCCTCCCCTGAAGCTCACTCCCCTATGTAGTGTAAAAACTTGTTGCAATTATCCTACACCTCAATCCATTCCCCCCTCCCCACCCCATCAGATGCGGGAGTGCCCCTCCTACTCATCAACCCTCCCCCCGAGCTCACTCCCGATGACAAAACATCGGTTCGGCGGGCGGCACGGGTAGGCTGGGGCCGAACCGAGGCTGCACCAGCGGCTCGGTACGGCGATGTCATGGCGGCCTACGAGGGGGCGATGAGGGGAGTTTACCAGCAATTACCCGGAATTGTGGTGGGTAATCAACAACCCTAGACAGTTACCAAACTTGCCAGAGAATGGAGATACCTCAAAGGCTTGGTACCGGGATTCAATAATGGCTTGTGAAGGGCTGTGAGGGGTGTTTATTAGGGGAACTACCCCGCATTACAGTGGGTTATTCCTGAAAAATACTTCTGCCCGGGCGGCTCGGTACGGCGATGTCATGGCGGCTTACGAGGGGGCAATGAGGGGAGCAATTACCCGGAATTGTGTTGAGTCAATCATCTCTTTAGACTGATATTTCAAACCTCTTTTGAAAATGAAGCTGCCTCTAAGGCTCGGTGCTGGGATCTGATGGTGGCTCATGATATGGCTTCGAGGGCTGTGCGGGGTGTGTATAGGAGCAAACTACCCAGCATTACAGTGGGTAATTTCCAATAACTGATTCTGCCTGCCCTGGCAGTTTAATACAGCGACGTGATGGCACCTTACGATGGGGCAGAAGGGGGGAGCTTACATGAATAACCTGGGTACAGGGTGGTAACCACCCTTATTCTTTCTCATCACTCTCCACCTCCCCCGCCCATCCCCACCTCCTTCTTCCCCATGGCAGCTCTCACCCGTCTCTTCCATCGCACCATCAGCACTGGCGGCCGGGTCATGTACATTGCAATGGGGAGGCTACCAGTCTGTCACTCCCATGCAGTGCAGCAACAATCTCCACCTCCCCACCCACCATCAAATACCCCCCATCCGTCTCCCTCCCAACCAGGCCCTCACCCGTCTCTTCCATCGCACCATCAGCACTGGCGGCCGGGTCATGTACATTGCAATGGGGAGGCTACCAGTCTCTCACTCCCATGCAGCAACAATCTCCACCTCCCCACCCACCATCAAATATCCCCCTCCGTCTCCCTCCCAAACAGGCCCTCACCCGTCTCTTCCATCGCGCCATCAGCTCTGGCGGTCGGGTCATGTATATTGGAGACGTTTCGCTTGGCCTGGTGGGCCGAGTGGGGCTGGTACCCCCTTTTTCTTCACCCATTCCCCCCACCCATTCCCCCCACCCATTCCCCCCACCCATTCCCCCCACCTCCCCCCCACATCAGGCCCTCACAAGTCTCTTCCATCGCTCCATCAGCTCTGGCGGTCGGGTCATGTACATTGGGGACGATTCTCTCGGCCTGGTGGGGCTTATCGGTGAGTGAGAGAGAGGGACCTCGAAGCGTGCCTTTTAGCGACAAGCGGGGTGTGTGGGAGAGAAAGAGAAGCGTGCATTCTAGAGTGCGGTGAGCAATGTGTGTCGTGTGTGTCGTGTGTGTCGTGTGTGTCGTGTGCCTTAAACCCAAGCATTCCTCATCTCGCCATCTCACTCTGCCTATCCTTCTCTTCCCTCTCCCACACAAGCGTAAGTGCCAAGCCAATCAGTCTTGTGAAAAGCTCGCTGAGAAATCATGCCATCAAAGCTCGAGCATTCCTCATCTCGCCATCTCACTCTACCTCTCCTTCTCTCTCCCACACAGACGCCTCGGAGCAGGTGGTGCCCAACTTTGGAGCGCGGCCCGGCTCCTTCCAAGGCAAAACATTTCCTTGCATCTCCCCATCTTCCTTGCATCTTCCCATCTTCCTTGCATCTTCCCATCTTCCTTCATGCACCCTTCTTTTCTCTCTCCCACACAGACGCCTCGGAGCAGAGCAGGTGGTGCCCAACTTTGGAGCGCGGCCATATGGAAATCACTTTTGAGAACTCTCAAAAGTGAACTCCTTCCTGTCTCGCTCCCTCCCTCCCCCTCAGACGCATCAGAGCAGGTGCCCACCTTTGAGGCACGCCCAGGCTCCTTCCAAGGCTTCTTTGTTCCTCCCGCCTCCTTTCTCTCCTCTCATCTCCCTATCTCGCTCCCTCCCTCCCGCTCTCCTCCCCCTCGGACGCCTCAGAGCAGGTGCCAACATTTGGAGCGTGCGCAGGCTCCTTCCAAGGCTTCCTCGTCTCCACTCCTTATCCCCCTCGCTCCTCCTCTCTTCCTCCACTCATCCCCTCTTTCCCCCTCAAGACTCTTCAGGGCGGGTCCTCACCTTTGGGGCAAGCCCAGGCTAGGCTCCTTCCAAGGCTTCCTCGCCTCCCCTCCCTATCCTCCTCCCTTCCCCTATCCTTCTCTCTCCCACTCCCTCAGACGCCTCAGAACAAGTTCCCACCTTTGGGGCACGCCCAGGCTCCTTCCAATGCTTCCTCACTTCCACGTGGCACCGCCTGATTTGTCCGCTGAACCAGCACACAGTCGATCCCCTGGGCTCATCTGCTCCTGGTAGCAGTAGCAACAGCAGCAGCAAAAGCAGGAGCAACAGCAGCAGCAAAAGCAGGAGCAACGTCAGGAGAAGCAGCAGCAGGAGAAGCAAGGCAAGGGCTAGGGAAAGCCAACACCAGAAAATCAGCAGCAGCAGCAGCAGCAGCAGCAGGACGCGAGTAGCAGATGTATCAGCAGGGAAGAGGAGCAGCAGCGAAGCGAGCACTAGCAGGGGCAGCAGCACAAGCTCTTGGTTCTTTCCCTTCAGGGCTGCTGCTGCTGCTGCTGCTACTGCAACCCACTCACGCTCTCGCCAATCCACGCCAGAGGCTCTGAGGGCAATCAGCACAGACCACTTTCTGCACGACGTCCTCCCCACCACCCGGTGAGCCAGTCCTATTAATAAGCCGCCTGCTTTGCTTGCTGCATATGCTCTTAGTAGCACGTACCTACTGGTCCTCCCAGACTGACTCGCCCTCTCGCCAGGCCACACTAGAGCTGTTGAGGGCAATCAGCACAGACCACTTTCTGCACCACGTCCTCCCCACCACACGGTGACCAAGGCCCATCAAGCCGGCTGCTATGCCCAGTATGCGCGTCTATTTTTGAGTCTGAGTCAAAAACAGACTCACTACGCAAGGCCCCAGCAAGCCGGCTGCTATGCCTAGTATGCTCTGTAGCACATACCCCGTCCGCATGCTCCCACTCGTCCTCTCGCCAAGCCACACCAGAGCTTCTAAAACCAGTCAGTGCAGGCCAATTTCTGTACGAGGTTCTCCCCACCGCACGGTGCACTAGGCCCAGTAAGCCACACCACACTGCAGGTCTTGCCAATCCACGCCAGAGCCACTTACGTCCATCAGCACACCTCTCCTTGCGAGTGATTTTTGAGAATTCTCAAAAACCACTTACGTCCATCAGCACACCTCTCCTCAGTAATTATTCACTCGCCTTTCATCCCGTGCCTTAATCCCTACTCTTTCCCCTTCTTGTGTTGCTTCCAGTGCCAATGACACAGTCCTTTTGTTAGAGTCACACGTGCTACAGCCACAGCTGTTCCCTCTCCCTCTCCTCACCGCTCACTCGTCTTTCCTCCCTTGTCGTATTCCCCTTTCTTCTCCCCCTCTCATCCCGTGCCTTATTCCCTACTCGTTCCCCCTCCTGTGCTGCCTCCAGTGCCAACGACACTGTTCTCCTGTTAGAGTCACACGTGCTACAGCCACAGTAGTTCCTTCCACCTCACCACTTACTCGTATTTCCTCTTTTGTCTTATTCCCCTCTCTTTCCCCCTCTTCTGCTGCCTCCAGTGCCAACGACACTGTTCTCCTGTTAGAGTCACACGTGCTACAGCCACAGCTGTTCCCTCTCCCGCTCCTCACCGCCCTCCACACACGAACCAAGCAGGGGCTGCTGTCCCTCGCTTTGCTAAGTGTCGGTGTGGCTCCTCACGACCGGCTCTTAATGGTGTATGATGATGAGGATGGGATGGAGGAGGGGAAGGAGCTGGAGGAAGAGGATGAAGGCGAAGAGAGTGAGGAGGAGGAGTTGGGGGAGGAAAGGGAGGAGGAGGAGGAGGAGGAGGAGGAGGAGGAGGAGGAGGAGGAGGAGGAGGAGGAGGAGGAGGAGGAGGAGGAGGAGGAGGAGGAGGAGGAGGAGGGAGAAGAGGGGGGTGGTGAGCAAGAAGAGGGCGGAGCGGAAGAGCAAGGGGTGGAAGGGGAGGAGGAAGGGGAGGAGGAGGAAGAGGTGGAAGAGATGGAGGAAGGGAGCAGTGATTCGGAGGTGCTGGTGGGGAGGGAATCAGGAGTGGAAGAGGAATTGGCTGTAGCTGAGGAGAAGAGAGAGGATACATCTGAGGGGGGGTATGAGAAGGGGGACGAAGATCACAGTGAGGAGGGGAGTGAGTGGGAGTCAGTGGATGGGGATGAAACAGAGCATCTGCTTCACAAAGTCAGTAGAATATACATCCAGGCTGATATAACAAATTCTCTACAACAATGCTGCATTCCATCACTAAGCAATAAGCTAATTTACCATGAACAACCCTTGGGTTGCATTGCACCTATAGCTCACCATACCGGTAACGACTACTTCGGGAGTTAATATTCTCCATACAATAAAGCAGGAATCGAAAACATAGACGTTGGATTGGATGCATCACGCATCATCTCATATTGTTTGACATTTCAAAAAGGCAAATCTGAAAGAGGATCATGATCAAAATCAGTATGAACCTGCAACCCATACATATCTCTCACATCCTCAAACGCAATCTCGCCACGCCCTTTAACACTCAAGCTGTGCAGCATCTTGAGCTGGGTGAAATCCTCCGACAGAGCAGCCAACTCCTTGCATCCATCCAGGTTTAGTTTCTTAAGCCGGCTCAGCTGTCCGAAGTGGCATGGCAGGGAGCGTATGGGGGTGCAGCTGAGGTTCAGCTCATGAAGACACGAGAGCTCGGTGAGAGAAGCAGGGAGCTGGGTAAGTGATGAGCACTTGGCCAAATTCAGCTGACGAAATCGGGATATCGCCCCGATGCCCTCTGGAAGAGAGGACAGCTTGGGTGCATGCATTTCAACGGATGTCAGGGACTGAAGCTCGGTGAAACTCTCTGGTAGCTCTGTTAACTCCTCAGCCCGCTGAATCTCCAGCCGCCTCAGCCGCCGCAAGGCCGAACCAAATCCTTCCGGAAGCTTCTTCATGCAAGCAGCATTGCAGATGATCAAGCTGCGGAGGTTAGCAAGGAGTTCCAGAGGCAACGGGAATCCCTCTGCCTCTCCGATCAACACCAGCTGTAAGAGGTCCAGAGACGGCAGAGTCAGACCAGAGGCAAGTCCACCCGTAAGCCCCACACCATTTAGGACCAATTCCCTCAGCTTTGGCAGTTCTGAAATTTCCAGCGAAGGGACGGGCCGCTTGAAGCTTCCTAGCGAAAGAAACTCGAGGACACAGGGGAAGGATGTAAATAATTGTGCTAACTGGGGTAGCTTGGCAAATGCCAAGGTTTTGAGCCTTGTAAGGTGGGCCAAGGTGGTGGGGATTGAAGTAAGGCTGCTGCAGTCGACAACTTTCAGAACCTCTAAGTTGACAAGGTCAGTGACAGATTCTGGAAGCTTCTTAATGTTAGGACAGGCCTGGATGGTCAATTCCCGCAGATTTCTCAGCTTCCCCACGTCCTTTGGAAGTTCAGCTAGTACCATACACTCAGTGAGATGGAGACTTGTGAGGGAAGACAGCTGCGTGAAGGAGGATGGAAGCAGCTGCTGCGACTCATGCTCTGTTAGGCTGAAGGTTTGGAGATTGATGAGTGAGCCTATGTCTTCTGGAAGCATCGGGGACGACGTGTTGAGGATACTCAAGGATTTGAGTGCGGTGAGAAAACCGAAATCTTCAGGCAGATCGAAAAGCCCGTGGCAGTAGGACAGGCAAAGGGTTTCAAGGGATGTCAGCTGGTTGAACGAATCCGGAAGATTCCAGAGAGGCACGGAGTTCAACGTCAGCGTTTTCAAAGCCGGCAGATTTCCGAAATCTTTGCACAGGCTGACCACCTCGCACGTTGAAATCGTCAGCTGCTCCAGGCAGATTAGGGAAGTAAACTGTTCGGGCAGCTCGGTAAAATATATGCATCCGCACAAGCTCAGATCGCGAAGCCTGGGCAGTAGCTCGCCGACGTCGTCAGGAAGTTGCTCAAGCTGATCGCAGTCACTGATACGCAGTCGCTCGAGACGGCTAAACGTCATTCCTGACGGAAACATCAGCTCGAACCGCGGACTACACGCGTGGAATTCCAGGGCTTTCAGCGACGGCATTTGAGCGAATGAAAAGGGGTAGGATGCGCCACCGCGTTCTAAATCTAGACATGTCTGGTCGAATAGAACGAGGGTGGTGACAGCTGGGAGATGAGAGAGATTCGCGAGATTCAGATCTTCCTTATCGGGAATACCGACGGAGAGAGCAGTGAGAGACGACAATTTCGTAAATCCCGGAGCGTGGAGAGGCGAGCCTTCGGTGAGAGCAAGGGTGTGAAGGTTGGTGAGGAGTGAGAGAGAATCCGGCAGCTTCCCGTAGTAATGCAAGCAGTAGAGCGTGAGGTGCTGCAGTTGAGTGCAGCGACGAATGAATCGGTCCAAGCCGGTTTCGGTCACCGGATGCTCCTTCTGCCAGGACCACTCCAATTTCGACGTAATTTCTCTCCCCACGTGCAGCGACACCAATTTAGGGCATGACGAAGCGAGGAAGTCGAAAAACGCGTCGTTGATAGTCTCTACGCTATTGTCGTTGAGATGCAGATGGGAGAGGTTCGGGAAGCATTTAACGGCAGCTGTGAGATCTTGAATCGAAACGACGACGTTTTTCTTCACGACGAGCATTGAGACCTCACGGCGAGCCAGGCGACGCCAGCGCGTGCAGATGGAAGCGATGAGGAGATTATATGCGGGATCTGTAAGCACGGTAGGAGCTGACAATGGAGTATAACTAGTAGTATTCTCGACGTTCCGCTGCAAGGAGGAAGATTCCGGAATGCTTTCGCCTGAGCTGCTGAGATGTTCGCCATACGGGTTTTCGGAGGTGTACCTCGGTAGTGGCAAGACGGAATACAATGAACGGATAGTGCTTTTGAGTTGGCGGCGAGAGGGGACGTGGTTCTGGGAATGCCAGAAGATCTTAACGAGGAGGTCATCTGAGAGGTTGTTGATGTATGAGGGAGGCATGGCATTTGGAGTATAAGCTCTCTGTGGATCTGGTGATTGCGAGTAATGTCTGTCTGTGGGAAAAACGCTCTCTCTACGAGAGTTGGCAAGGCACAATAAGCTATGAGCTTATCCTTGCAAATCTTCAACGGAGTGACCTATGTATCCTCGCTTCTGCTCTGCTCATTCTCAAGTTCTACAGAAGATGGCTTGTGGAACCGAACACGCGACCAAATGAACGTCAAGGCGTGGTTCCTCGAATTCTAAATTGTGAAAGTGATCAAGTTTGAAAAAGTATCCAGCTTCGAACGTTTCGTATGGTTTTTCGCCAGAGGTTTTTGCAGAACCTCAAGTTTCGTCAAGAATGGAACAGCAAAAATTGGTTACGAATTTCGTCGTTTTGTTCGAATGTACCACGCCTTGGTCATTCATAACATGAAGTCAGTTGGAAAGAGTGGGTGGGTGGTAAAGAATGGGAACAAAACAGCAGACTTGTGCAGTGCACAGCCTTTGAGGCGCTGTGTCACTTGAGTGTTACGGATGCTTGCGTATAGACGCAAACTGACAAGATGAGGAAGCAGTGTTGGGGCGCCTTATAACGAAGTATTACGTAGACACGAGGTGTAGCCGGAGTAAACTCGAAATAGAATCGTCCCTGCTAGCGTCGCACGGTTTCCACATTGACAGTCGCATTCGCATTCGCATTCGCAGTCGCATACGATGTCGCAAGTGCGGTCGCACGAGCTGCCTCTCACAGAGCGACCGAATGAGATGTCCTCGGCGATAGACGTCGCGTCGCCGGACGAAATCGTGCGAGTTTTCCGCGCGTGCGACGCGCAGCTTTTCGCCGGCTATGCGGGTTACCCCGGCCTGATGGACGAAGAGGTGAGCGTTTAAAACCAGGGTCTCACGTAAGGAAAATTGTCATCAACTGCAAAACAATTGATGCTGAGTCACCCTGTTTGAGGTGGCGAAGTCTAGGGATTGGTCTGGCAATTGACTGTGCGACACCTGACGTTTTCCCTGGTACATGAGACTTTCGGGATGCTCGCACAAATTGCTGGTGTTCTAGCTTTGGCACCGAACCAATTTCCGTGCCTGGTTGGTTCGGACACAAACTGCGATTTGTGTTTCCTTCGCACCCCTCGCCACACCCCTCGTCATTCTTTACACCTCGCCATCCAATCCTAACCAAGGTCAAGTCATCAACTGCAAAACAATTGATCTACGTGAGACTCTGGTTTTAACGGTCTCGCTTGCGAAATATCTTGTAACATTCGCGAAAACCGGCAGCTTCCTTCAAAGCACACTGAGAGAGCACAGTGTTTGCCTGGTTTGCTTTCCCGTCCCAAGTCTGCCTCCCAGTAGGCCGATATACGAACGGTGGGGATTGCAGAGGGGAGATTGCAGAGGGGGGAGCGCAGAGGGGGGGAGCGGGAGGAGGGGGGGGAGGGGGGGGGGGGGATCGGGGGGGTTGCAGAGGAATGAGCGCAGAGGCGAGAGTGTCTGGGGGGAGTGCAGAGGGGAGAGGAGTGCAGAGGGGTGAGTATGGGGCAGAGAGTGAGGGTGCTTTGAGCTGTTCGTGGGTTCTGGTGTGCTGCATCCAGCTTGTACATACTGGGAAGTTTTTGAGAATTCTAAAATAGTTCTGGTGTGCTGCGTCCAGCTTGTACATACTGGGAAGTTCCTCAACGCTCTGTTAGCACCCTTAGAGTCTTTTTCGCCCTTTCCGCCTCCCTCCCCTTCCCCCTATTCGCTCTCGTGAAAAAAGGAGTGTTTTGAGACGTCTCAAAACACTCTGTTAACACCCTTTGAGTCTTTTTCGCCCTTTCTGCCTCCCTCCCCTTCCCCCTGTTCGCTCTCCCCCACTCCCCCCTGTCCGCCCCCCTCCCTTCTCCCCTGTCCGTCCCCTTCCCCACCTACCTGTCCACCTCTCCCCCCTGTCCACCCCTCCTCCCTGTCCGCCCCTCACCCCTAACCGCCCGTCCCCCCTGTCCGCCCGTCCTCCCTGTCCGCCCGTCCTCCCTGTCCGCCCTTACTCCCCCCTTGTCTACATCAGACCATTCGAGTGGTGGATCAGCTCACAGCAGTGGCGGCTGAAATCGTCTCTTTCTCCAAGGCAAGCTGTCCGTCCTCCCCCGTCCCTCCTTTCCCTCCTCCTCTTTCTCTTTCTCTTTTTTCTTTATCTCCTCCTTTTTCCTATTTGCCTCCTCAGCCCACCCCTGCCCTCCCCTGCCCTTCACCCCTCATCTTGCTCTTCCTCGGTCTCGTTCTCGTTCTCTTTCTCTTCTCCATTGCATGCTGCTGTTTCCTGTTCTCTTGCCTTTCTCTCTCCTTTCTTCCTCCCTTTCATGGTCCCACCGCCTCATTCCTCTTTGAGGCGATTTTTGAGGCGCCTAAAAAATCTGCTGTTTCCCGTTCCCTTGCCTTTTCCCCCTCTCTCCTTCCTTCCTCCTTTCATGGTCCCACCGCCTCATCCCTCAGGATAGTGCAGTGGTGGTGTCAGGTGCTGATACCACTCGTATGCCCCCTCTCACCCACCTCTTCCCCTCCCAACCGTGCCCCACCACTCTGTAACTCAGGATAGCGCAGTGGTGGTGTCAGGTGCTGGCACCACTCGCATGCCCCCTGTTCACCCACCTCTTCCCTCCAAATCCTGCTCCCCACTGCCTTCTCCCCAGCTCTCCGCTCGCATCATCCACCCCACCACCCCTGCCTCATCTCTTAGGATAGTGCAGTGGTGGTGTCAGTAGTACATGCCCCCACTCACCCACCTCTCCCCTCCAAATCCTGCTCCCCACTGCCTTCTCCCCTTCTCCCCGCTCGTATGCCCCCCTCTCACTCACATCTTCCCCTCCCACTTATGCTCCCCACTGCCTTCTCCCCTTCTCCCCGCCCGCATTTATACTCCCCACTACCACCACCCCTGCCCTCAGGATAGTGCAGTGGTGGTGTCAGGTGCTGGCACCAGCAGCAGAATAGCCTTTCAGGTGTTTCCTTGTTCACCTGTCCGCTTTCCTCCCCCCCCCCACACCTTCTCCTTCCCCTTCCCCTTTTAGTTTCCCTTTCCCCTCTGGCAATCGTGTTCTGTCCTCCATTTGTTTTTGTTGGACCTTTGAGCCTTGTCGTTGTGTATGTAACGCAGTGTGAGAGTTGCAACTTACAATCATGAGTCCTTCTAAAAAATTAATAGAATACCGTCATCGAACCGCTTCAAGGCAAAACATGATCTGTTTATTCAAATTTGAATAACCTCGAACACTCTCACATCATGAATGGTTTGGTAGTGCTCAATGCATTGGATTGGACAACCACCTGACCAACCACCTGAATATTCTCCTGCAGGTGGTTCTCTGTTTCAACGCTGTGCTCAAGAGATACGGCCTGCCGCCGTGCTTCCACTTCCTCATTGCAGGGGGGCTGCCTGCATTGCTGAAGGTAGGTGTGTATCGGCATATGGATGCAGGGTATGGTATGTGTGGTGTGGTGTGGTGTGGTGTGGTGTGGTGTGGTGTGGTGTGGTGTGGTGTGGTGTGGTATGGTGTGCTCAGGAGATATGGCCTGCCGTCCTGCTTCCACTTCCTCATTGCAGGGGAGATTACCTGCCTTACTTAAGGTGTGTAAGTGCATGCGTGCATGTGGGTGTGTGTAGGAGGGGCCAGGGAGACTACTACCCGATACCTCCTGTCACCCCCTCCCCGCCCCCCGTGCACCTCTCTCCAACCACCCCATACCTCCTCTTAACCCCCCTCCCCACACCTCTACACCAGCGGCAGGTGCTGAGTCTGGTGTCAGGTGCTGGCACCAGCGGCAAAATAGCCTGTCTTTTTGGTGTTGAGTCGACTCAAAACCCCCATCGACTCTCCCTTCTCTCCCCTTCCTCCCAATCCTGGTCCCCATCACGGCCCCATAACTCAGGATAGTGCAGTGGTGGTGGCAGGTGCTGGCACCAGTGGCAGAATAGCCTTTTAGGTGCTGCCTTGTTCACATGTCAGGTGCCGTTTTCTTTACCTTCCAGGTTCTTCTTTGTTGCCTTCCAGGTGTTTTTCCGTTTATAAAGGGGTTCCCCTCCCCCGCATCGTCCCTTCCCCTCTGCCTCCCATTTTAATTTTCCCTTCCCGCTCGGAAAATCTTGTTATTCCCTCCATTTGTTTCCTGTTGGACCTTTGAGCATTGTTGTGTAACGCAGTGTGAGTGTTGCAACTTACACTCATGAATTCTTGGATAAATAATTACGCGAAATACAGTTATTTATTGAGCGCTTCAAAGCGAAACATGATCTGTTTATTCAAATTTCCATTAATCTCGAACAATCTCACATTGTGAACAGTTTCATAGTGCACAATGCTTTGAATTGGACCATCATCCGCCTTTCCAGCCAACCACTTGAAAAATCACCTGCAGGTGGTTCTCTGTTTCAACGCAGTGCTCAGGAGATACGGCCTGCCGCCCTGCTTCCACTTCCTCATCGCAGGAGGGCTGCCTGCATTGCTGAAGGTAGGTGTGGTGTGGTGTGGTGTGGTGGTGTGGTGTGGTGTGGTATGGTATGGTATGCTGTGCTCAGGAGATACAGCCTGCCGCCCTGCTTCCACTTCCTCATTGCAGGGGGCCTACTGGCGCTTCTCAAGGTGCGCATGTGAGAGTGCATGCATGTGTGTATGTGGGGCGGCGGAAGGGGGGTTGTGCATGGTATGGGCAGATGTGGGCATGCCGCTGTATCTCCTCTCATACGGCCTTCCACCCTGCTTCCACTTCCTCATTGCAGGGGGGCTGCCGGCATTGCTGAAGGTAGGTGTGTGTGGGCATGCGGAGTATAGTATGGTATGGTGTGGTGTGGTGTGGTGTGGTGTGCTCAGGAGATACGGCCTGCCGCCCTGCTTCCACTTCCTCATTGCAGGGGGCCTACCGGCCCTACTCAAGGTGGGCATGTGAGAGTGCATGCGTGTGTGTATGTGGGGCGGCGGAAGGGGGGTTGTGCATGGTATGGGCAGATGTGGCCATGCCGTGCTGCTGTATCTCCTCTCATATGGCCTCGTGATTGAAGAATTGTTTTGAGACGTCTCAAAACAATTCTTCAATCACGTAGATGTGGGCATGCCATGCCGCTGTATCTCCTCTCATATGGCCTGCCGCCCTGCTTCCACTTCCTCATTGCAGGAGGGCTACCTGCATTGCTGAAGGTAGGCGTGTGTGGGCATATGGATGCAGGGTATAGTATGTGTGGTGTGGTGTAGTATGGTATGGTGTAGGGTGGTATGGTATGGTATGGTATGGTATGGTATGGTATGGTATGGTATGGTATGGTATGGTATGGTATGGTATGGTATGGTATGGTATGGTATGGTATGGTATGGTATGGTATGGTATGGTATCGTATGGTATCGTATGGTATGGTATCGTATGGTATGGTATCGTATGGTATCGTATGGTATCGAATGGTCTAGTATGGTATGGTATGGTATGGTATGGTATGGTATGGTATGGTATGGTATGGTATGGTATGGTATGGTATGGTTTGGTATGGTATGGTATGGTATGGTATGGTATGGTATGGTATGGTATGGTATGGTATGGTATGGTATGGTATGGTATGGTATGGTATGGTATGGTATGGTATGGTATGGTATGGTATGGTATGGTATGGTATGGTCTGGTATGGTACGGAAGGGTTTGGTTCTGCCTTGCGGCGGCTGAGGTGGCTGGAGATACACGGGCTATAGATATACAGAGCTGATATACCACACCACTTTAAGAAGTTTAGCCTAAATGGTTGCAAGCAGCTGGCTACTCTGCCTGAGGATTTCACCCAACTCAAGATGCTTGAGTGCGGCACAGTTGAAGCTAAAGGTGTTCAAGATATGTATGGGTTTTATATTCAGACTGGTTTGCATTTGGATGGGTATATGGAGAGGGAACACCGCGACTTTATGAAATGTTATTTTACAGGAAGAGTGGTTGAGGCCCGGGGGCCGGGGCACAGTGTGGTACGCGTTGGAGTGCAAACCAATATATCATAGATCTTTCCATGGTACATACGGTGCAATCATACTGCACCTCACCAGCACAAAATCAATAAGCGGATCTGTCCTGACCCCAATGAGAAAAACCAATTGGAACCTCGGAACATTAGCAACCCATGATGAACAAGAACCAAGAAGGAATAACTGTATAAAAAGAAATAAAGAAAGCATAATGAGCCATTCACCTAGTGGTTGTCAATGAAGGTTTTCCTGAGGACCAGTGCATGTGCACTCCCAAAAAACCTTGCTTCAACACATGGCTGCATCAAGGTCTTCCTGTGATAGCAGCGCCTCTTCACCATCCTTCTTATCCTCCCACCGCCTCTTTGAATGAATTACAGTGCCTGAGTGTGCGCGCAACACAACAGACACCGGCGTCAGCACAAGGCTGCATCAAACTCTTCCTGTGATGGCAGCGCCTCCTCATCATCCTTCTCCTTCACCGTGCATACAGCTGGGCGGCTGACACTCCCTGTTACCTGTACATTCGGAATATGAGACAAATCCTGCCACCCACACGTCAGCTCCAGCAAATGGACCCCTTGAGCGTCCACCCCACTGCTGCCCTCACTTGACGCATCACTAAGAGCAGACTCGTTATGTGCTATAGCGCGCGACGAATCTAAAACAGCTCTAGGAGAGAAAGGCGGATACGAAACCACAGGTCCACTGCTGCTGCCGCTGCTGTTGTAGGGAAACCCTTTTCCCCCCCTGCCAACCTTTTTAGGAGAACCTCTAGAGGATCCGTTATAAGTTGATCCAGGGCTCCTTCCTGCTTGCCCGTACCCTCGGGATTTACGCGCGCTTGCTGCTCTAGCAGCAGCAATGGCAGCCGCAGCTGCTGTTGGTGATGCTGACGTGGAGCCACCTGGACCACTGTACTGCTGCCACGTGTCACGACCCACAGACCCCCCTGGTGGCCCATAAATAGGCCCCTCAAGCTCAGTCCGAGCCTGCGGATGCGCGAACCATGCCCTGGTGTTTGGACCAGAGCTGGGACGGAGGTTCGGAAGTGGAAGGTTCGGAGGCGAGGGGCTCTCAAACTTTCCGAACCTATCCTGCTGCGCCTTGAGCAGCGATTCCCGAAGCCTTACCGGGGAGGCTTGGGCTTGGGCTGATGCTACAGCAAAAGAATTGCCTATCTGACCTGAACCTGCAGAATTCTGCAGCTGATATTCAATCTGAGCAGCTTTGATTTGAGATTCAAGCCTTGCAGCTTGGACCAAGGCTGCCGCTTGGGCCGAGGCTGCGGCGGAGGTTTGGCCCGAGGCAGCTAGTTGCTCCAATGCTTGCAGCTGCGTTTGCAGCTCCACTTGGGTCATTTGCCATTGGGCCAGCTGAAGGCGCTGCTGCTGCTCCTGATAGCCCTGCTGCTGCTGTGACCACTGCTGGTATTGCTGTGGCTGCTGATTCTCCTGTTGCTGTTGTCGCTGCTGCTGCTGCAACTCTTGTTGCTGTAGCTGCTGCTGCTGTTCCTGTACACGTGGAGAAAGATACCGTAATAGCTGCTGTTGCTGCTGCAGCTGTTCCTGTACACGTGGGGAAGGATTCCGTAATTGCTGCTGCTGCTGCTGTTGCTCCTGTACAAGGGGAGACGGATACCTTATTTGCTGTTGCAGAGGCCCACGTTGCTGCTGCTGCTGCTGCTGCTGCTGCTGTTCTTGTTGCTGCTGCTGCAGCTCTTCTTGCTGTAGCTCGCTGGACTGTAAGTGTAGTTGCTGCCGTAGCTGCTCTTGAAGCTGCAAAAGAGGGGCGGCAGCAACGAGCTGTTGCTGCTGTGACCACTGCTGCTGCTGCTGCTGTTGATGCTGCTGCTGTAGTAGCTGCAGCTGCTGTTGCTGCTGTTCCTGTAGCTGTTGCTGCTGTTGCTGCTGCCGTTGCTGCTGCTCTTGCAGAAGCTCCAGTATCTGTTGGGAAACCACGGACTGTGAACCCAACAACCCACGGCCGGCCCAAATAGCGTCTGAAACGCCTTGTGACGCGGAAGCGCAGCTGCCCGGTAGCAGGGGCGCGGACTCAGACAGAGACGTCAAAGCAGACGGCGACGTCAAGGCCGATGGAGACGGGAAACTTAACGATCCTGCTGACGGCTCGTCTATCAGACCAGCCGAGCGTACAAAACCCCATGGTCCAGACTCCTGATGCTGCGTTTGAGGCGACTCAATAGCAGCCTGTAACTGTACAGTATCCCATGGTTTCAGTGCGTGCTGCTGCTCCGCCAAATTTTTCACCCACGCAGACTTATTCACCCCTTCCAGACCTCCTAAGGAACCCGTAGCTCGTTTCTCGTTCTGATCCTGCAGCCTCGTTATAAGAGGTCCTGTATGGGGTATTTTCGAAAACGGAGCTTGTATCGGGTCGGGGCTCCGGGTTAGCGGCGGCCAGTAGGGAGGGGATTGCGGCGAAGGAGGGGAGAGCGACATCAGAGGGGGCATAGAGCCTGGAACTGCAGCTTGAGAATATGATGCGACTCGAGGAGAAGGGGACGCGGCTTGAGAATATGAAGCAATTCGAGGAGAACGGGAAGCGGCTTGAGAGTATGACGTGGTTCGAGGAGAGGGGGACGCGGATGATGATATCGGAGTAGGCGGCGAGCAAGAGAAGCTATTGAGGTCTGTGAGGCCTATACTCGCGGTTCGTGAATACGAGAAACGCGGCGATGGAGATGGCGGTGAGCCCGGCGACGGTGACGGCGTGAAACGCGGGGAAGGTGGCGGCTGGAAACGTGACGAAGAGAGCGGCGGGAGGGGAGAAAAGCCTGAAGAAACAGAAAGGGAAAAGCAAGAAAAAAAATGGAATGTTCTAAAATGGTACGTTTAGAGAGGTAGCACTACTCGAAGATGCTGGCTTGGAAGTCTTGGTAGCGGAAGCAGCTAATTAATCAGGTGCGAAAACTAGGACGGTTCCTAAGTCCGAAGTTGCAGTAACGAAAATTCATTGACAAAATCCTCTTCAAAACTCGAACGAAAACCATCCCACGGAAAAACGCGAGGTATAAATACGCGTCTGACCGTCACCTTCATCTTGCATATATATATGAGGCACGTCTGCAAACGGCGGAAAATCAGCTTGGGCTTTCCACGCTCCCCGTGCCACGACGCGCGATGACGTATCACCCATCAAAGTAAGCATATTCCTTCAGTAGAATCACACACAAGCAGTACATACTCCAAGTTTAACGTCAAAGGCCTACGGCTCGCTGCTAGACTAGCACGTTGTTTTTTCTTGCTATCTTCCTGGTCGGTGGGATGAAGGAAACGTGAAAGCAGCTAAAACAATCGGCACACGCAACTGAGGAGATGGCGGAAACGTTTGTGCTTCGATCTTGCTTCTGCTCTCGTCTTTTCGATTTGGTCGCTTGTGTCTCCCTTGGTCGCAGTTTCTGGAAAGCGGTCGAGAGAACTTCGAGGATGCAATGCAAGCAACAAATCTCGAGGTGATGGAGAGGAACTGGCGGGAAAGCCGGAGACATTTCGGCGAACATGGAATACTTCCTCGGGCAGAATTGTGGTTGTTCGGCGAGAGGTGCGGGTAGGCCGCAGGACACTTGGGAAGTTGTGAGCTTCGATCGGGATTGGTTCAACTTCATCAATGTCGGACTTGGCGGTGTGCCGTTCGGTGCTGCAAGTTCGGGCAGCGCGAGAAGTGACGAGGAATCGAGTCAACATGGTGTCGGGCAGACGTAGAATCACCCTGCGTAGGGATCGGGCAGGGATGGACCAACCAACATTTTCATCAAGCACCGACTGGGGTTTGATTGGCCATGACGGCTTTCACGACAAAGCTGGTGTGGTTGGTTATTCCGCAGAAAAATAACTTTCGCGAAACACCTCGAAAGACCGAAGTAGAATCAATTTCGTGGAACGCCGGCGTGCAGTTGCGACAACCGGCCACGTCAACGGACAAATGACACCTCGGCCTTGTTCTGTGGCCCCTTAACTCAGAGTTAACTGGGTTCGTAGTGGCTTCATTAACTCAACCCTCACACGTGTGTACGTTACAATCACACCGTGCCAGCTAACTCAGAGTTAGCAAATAAGGGTTCCAAATACGCAAAGTAACAACTCAGAGTACGCTCCGTAGGAAGCATGTATCGAATCTTCTTTCACGGGCAACTAACTCAGAGTTAGTGCTTTCCCTTACTCGGGCTTTTTTGTGAAAGTTGGCTACACTACTCTGTGTACGGCCCCAACATTGCCCACATTTGTTCTTTCCAACTAGTCCCCACGCTGTGTTGCGTGAAGTTGCAATTTTTTGCCTCATGGTTACCCTTTCGCACATTTTTTTTCGGAAGGGGCGGCACTTAGGGTTGAGTCAGAAAAATTTAACCAGAACAGCTTGGAGAACCCCTACGAAACTTCCTTAACTCAGAGTTAGGAGGGGCCACAGATCACCAAGGTGAGTTACAACTCAAAACATTCACACGAGCGTAATGATTAATTGCCGGTGTACTCACCCAAGCCTACACGGCTCGGTAACTCAGAGTTAGCTAACTCTGAGTTAGCGCCACAGAACAAGGGCCTCGTTTGGAAGGCAAGGGCTGAATCCGTGAAGGTAGCCGTTGGCGCTGGTAAAGGCAGCAGCTGACTCAAGTCGTCGTCATGACCTACACAAGACACGTCACTGGCTCTGCCCCTCGATAAGTGAACTCGAAAGTACGGCTTGTTAGAGCGTTACACCGGACAACAATAATGAACCAACTTTCACCTAATCACACCATCAGTGTCAACTCCAGTTATTACAAAAAAAAAAATAAAAAAAAATTAGGCCCTATTCTAGTCAAACCTTTCACAATGCTAACCACCCCTAACCAAAACTCACAGAAAAAACGTCACCTGCCCAGAACGTATACAAGCGCATGTCTACCAAACAGGTGAAATTACTATACTGGAAATTGTTTACTTCTTTCAGCACAAACCTGTAGTGAACATTTTTCATACATAAACCCATCCATGATGCATGAATGATTTCGAACTCCAAAGCAGCTACCTGCAAACATGAGGGCCAAGCACACAAGAGTAAGCACACAAAACAATTGGAAGCTCAAACGCTCGTGGTGCGAAGAAACAAGGAGATTGCATGTGTGGAGAGGACGGCCACCCTTCAGTTAAGCACACCTGATGCCAAAGCACCAGAGACATTAGAGACATTCGACACGGCATCAATTCCGTCCGCCCGTCTCAGGGTAACATCCTCAGGGGGCCAGCAAGAAATGCTCAAGAGAACATGTACGAGCTCAAGGGAGTAAGAAGTCACACCTTCAGGTAATCTTCACAGGGGAGGCGTTGTTGACGCAGGACCGTGAATCAGCTCCAGCACAAGTAGATTCCACAGACTCTCAAGCGGTCCAGCCGGATAGCCACGGCATGTTACACATCAGGAGAGCCTGGCCGGTCGTCACTCGAACAGGCCCCAGACTGGAAGTTGTCGGATGATGGTATAAAACCTCAGTCAAGTGTCCCAACACCTGCGATTGCAAAGGGAAAAGGGGCAACTTAACAACCATCCCAAGACATCAGCACAATACCTAGGATCATCCCACGGAAAATGTGTGCAAGTTCATTTGACGGAAGGGCAACAGAGTGCCTCCACCGCTGGTAAGACAGCACGTAGCCAGAAGGCACGATAATCTGGCATCGGTGTGTGGTGACTTGGCCACAATCACCGCTCTCCAACTACCTTTACCCCTCCGAAAAGAGGGAGGTGAGCAGAGAGCGGCGCTGACATAGTCACCGATTGTCCGATGCGTGCGAAAAAATAAAAAAATATCAGAGTGCGATGCCAATGAGAGCGGAAGTAATAAATGCTAACAATGAAGGACAATGGCCATGAAATGGGTGTAGGGATGAAATGGGGCGAAGAGGGGAAACTAAGCTAAAGTCAGTGGCAAGTAGAGACGCACCTTTTAGAAAGGCCCCTTCAGCCAATGGGAGGGCTGACTTCCCGACTTCGACATTGCCGAGTCTGATTCTGGGTGACCTTAGGAGCGCTTTGAAGCTTAAGACTGACTCCTTGATTCGCCAAGACGTTCCGCATGGTAGAGTCTGCTTTAGCGCATCCTCAAAAGAATGATGAAAGCACATGTCACAATTGTTGAACCGCCGTGGCGCTCTGCATTGTTACATGTCACGGTCTAGTTGCGAGTGAACACAGAAGCGGCATTTCACCTGCTCAACCTCGCGACTCTCAAGCTTCTGGAAAGGAGTTGCATATGTAGTCGAGGAGACGCCATGCCCATGATGTACGTAGAAGAAACCCGCGAAAAATATGGAAAAGGAACGACGATACCTCAAAGAAGGTTTTGGTCCATTCGGCGAGAACCACTAGACCCTGGACACCTGAATGTGAAACAAAAAGCATCAATGAATTGTAGTACTTCAAATTTGAGAGAGCTGAGATGAGAGCAGGATGGAATGGAAGCTTTGGCGAGTGAGATAGCGAAACCCAAAAGCCTCACCAATTTTGAGATGTGAAGATCTGCGACGTCTATTTCTCTCCATCGACGGCGATCGAGCCCCAGGCATCGACGGCGGAGCAGTTCCGTGCACTGCGACAGGTTGCGGCTGGTGGTTTCCGCGCGGCAGGAACGCCTGGTCTGAAAGAGAGATGACGCCAAGGCGAAATGACCTCGAGCCAACTTATATGATAATTTTTGAAAGTGTAATGTAATGTAACACTTTCTAAAATTTTGTATTGTGAAAAGGGGTACGTGGCCAGCACAGCAAAGGTAGCGCCGAAGCGCTACTCACCCTCTTTTGCCTACAAAGGAGGGACGTGGGGACATTCGTCCCCACCCACGTTTTCATTTCTCAATTTGTAGTTCTTATTTCTCGTTCTCGTCACTCTGGCGAAGACACAATCCCTTCCGCGCTTCACAGCCCCGACAACACTCCTAAACGATATCATTCAGCGCAACTTAGCTAATATGGCTCCGGCGAACTCGGCGCTTAACCGCGACAACGCTACCACGTCAAGCCCCGGTAACGCGGCGGAAGCTTCAATTCCCGCCGGGGCAACCGATCGTCGCGGCAAAAGGAGTGCCGAAGAAATTTCTGCCGTGGGACCCTCGGCTGTCGAACTTCTGCTCGGGGGCACCCCTCGCGCTGCGTCAGAAGACACACGCGCGGCTGCTGTGCAGCCGCGCGTGACTGCTGAAGAGCGCGTGCCTGGCAGGCAGGCACGCGCGCAGCAGAAGACGACGACGGCTGCTGACGCGGCCGCCGTCTTGACCGCGGCTGACGCGGGTCAACCCGGGCCCACGACCCAGAAACGCCAGCGCGCGGCTCCCTCCGCTGACGTCACGCAAGTCAACGCCCCCCCCCCCCCCCCCCCTTGACTGCGCAGCAGGTGCAGACGTTTTTCTCGTTATTGCAGCAGCAAGCGCCCGGTACAATCGCTACTTCGACTGACTATAATTCTGCGTCCGTAAAAACGGAAAAGCAGAAAGAAGCCGTTGCAACCCGCACCACCAAGGCCGCTCGTGTCAGAATCCCAACCACTAGACCATTGGGATAAAAGGGCTTGTTAAGTAGCGGGTCAGTGCGCCCATAACCCCCCAGGACAACGAGCCTGTAACCCTTCCCTAGGATCAATCGGGGATCACCAGTGGACCTCTGACACCCCCCCGCACTGGGATGCCCGAAGTGCACACACTGGGATTCGAACCCGTGACCTTTGCTCTGATACCATGTCAGAATCCCAACCACTAGACCATTGGGATAAAAGGGCTTGTTAAGTAGTGGGTCAGTGCGCCCATAACCCCCCAGGACAACGAGCCTGTAACCCTTCCCTAGGATCAATCGGGGATCACCAGTGGACCTCTGACAGCTCGCGCCACCACCGCTGCTCCGGCGCCCGCCCTGGCTACTGAACCAGTTCAAGCTCCCGCAATTGACGACAGTGACAACTCCGATAATGACAACGGTGAGGCCCCCGACAACCTTGCCCGCCGTCGCATTCTTGCACCCGCACCCCCCCTTCCTCCCCTCAACCCGTAACCCGCAGCTACTACCTTCATACGCAAAGGAGTGCGCGACCAGGCAGAGGTATTTTCTGCAATTCAAGCGCACCTGAGGCACGTCGAGTTCAAACTCCAACACGGCGACGTCGAAGGCGCGCTCTCCAACGTGGCGCAAGTCGACACGCTAATCAACAAACGTTTCGAGGTGCTCTTGGTGGCGGACGAGGCCGGGTTTGAGGCGGCGGATCGGTTCCAGCTCTACCAAGCCAAGAGCGTACTTACGTCGCGCTCTTACAAGCTCGCGGTAGCCGACGTGGCGGCCCTCAAGCGTGCACGCACCGGCTTCAACCGCGGAGGCCGCCTTCCCCCTCGAGATGGCGAACCGGAAAGCAAGGGCATGCCACCCGCGGGCTGCCACGAGCCCCGCTTCAAGGGCGTGTGCTTCCGTTGTGGCCAGCCCAGACACATGGCAAACAATCGCCCTATGGAAGGGCGTGGCGCACAAGGCCCCGCACCCGTGGTGTGAGAGGACCCATGGGGCGGCGCCCCTTGCCACTATGCCGGGGGGCGTAGGTGGATGCACCGGTGGTGCGTAGGCTGGTTAGGAGCCTTGGGGAGTAGCTCAGCCGTATGGGCTGCATAGGGTGTAGGCCTAGGCTTGTATGCCTTTGTGTGGAATAATAAAAGTTGATTGGAAAAAAAAAAAAAAATGAAGACACAACAACAAGAGGAAGGAAGGAGGGCACAAGCAAGCCCATCCTCAAGGGCGGCAGCCATGAAGGAAGCTTGGCTAGGTGTAAATTATGAAATAAAGGATGAGGAAAGCAAAGCAAAAAAAAAAAAAAAAAAGAGAGAGAGAGAGAGAGAGAGAGAGAGAGAGAGAGAGAGAGAGAGAGAGAGAGAGAGAGAGAGAGAGAGAGAGAGAGAAAGAGAGCAAGAGAGAGAAACACGGAATGAGGATGAGGAGAAGGAGAGAGAGTAAGAGAGAGAAAGAGAGAGAGAGAGAGAGCGAAAGAGGGAGAGAGAGAGAGAGAGAGAGAGAGAGAGAGAGAGAGAGAGAGAGAGGGAGAGAGAGAAAGAGGCCACGACGGCATCGTGATGAACAAGGTCGTGAGACCAAGGGATGCACATGCACCGATCTTATCGTAAGGCGACTTCCAAATCTAAAAAAAAAAAAAAAAAAATGGGGGTGTGGGGAGGAGCGAAGGAGGTCAAAGACGAGCGACATAGTTTGCCCAGCAAAGTGTCCCGCCATCTCTCGCGTCTAATCGACCCTGGTTTTGTTCCTCCCCACAACCTCGGTTGCCCGCCGTTTGCAGAAGCTGAAAGCGAGTGGCAAGATGCTCACTGGGACCCATACGAGCATGCAATAACGGACAACATGGTATCCATCATGCGAAGGCGATTGCGGAACAGTCTCCACTGGTGGCTATCATGGTGCGACAGCAGTTTCATCCTTTCCATCATTGCTAAAGGGTACTGGCTACCATGGAAGGGCGCGGAGCCACCCCCCTTCGAAGCCCTCAATCACGCAGGGGTTCAAGCACACATGGCTTTCACCCAAGGTGCAGTCAGCGACCTCATCGCGTCAGGAGCCGCGGTACAGGTCTCGTCGAAAGCAGCACTGACATGCATTAGCCCGCTCAATGTTGTCGAGCAAAGAGACAAATGCCGTCTCATTCTTGACCTGCGGAAGGTCAACGCTCACCTCCAAGTTCCCAAGTTCAAGTACGAGGGGTTGGGCCGGGTCGCGGAGATCATTCGCCCAAACGACTGGATGTTCACCATCGATCTGAAGTCAGGCTACCACCATGTCGAAATCCACTCATCATGCTGGAGGTTTTTGGGCTTTCAACTGGATGGCATGTTCTATTGCTTCACATCCTTACCCTTCGGCCTGGCAACAGCCCCGTTCGTCTTCACCCAGCTAATCAAGCAACTAGCCACGAGATGGCGCGCGCGCGGCGTGCGCGTAATACCATACGTGGACGATCTACTATTCCTGTGCGATTCCGAGGCGCAAGCCCGTTCGACGTGCATCGAAGTTCTCCAAGACCTGAAGGTGGCGGGATTCGTGATAAATGCTAAGAAGTCAAACCTGCATCCGACACACCACTTGCGCTTCTTGGGGATGGAGCTCGACACGTAACGAGGGATGTTCCTCATCGGAGAAGATTGGCGCGAGCAACTCCTGCAGGAGCTCCACCTACTCGTTAAAAACGGGCAATCGGGTCGACAAGTGCCGATTCGTAAGATAGCCCGAATCACGGGATTTCTCAGCTCCATGTCGCTCGCACTAGGTACTACGGCGCGTGCCTTCAGCCATGAGCTGCTGCACTTGATCGACTCCGCGTGGTCATGGAACGCGAAGGTTAAATAGTCACCAGGAGCGACGGAGGAGTTGGTGTTTTGGACAGTCCACTTCGATCGGTTCAATGGTGCCCCATTCCACCAGAGCCAACGGTTTGATGCCGTGATCCACGTCGACACAAGCGCACACAGCTGGGGGGCCACCTTGGCCAAGTTCCCAAGTGCATCATGCGAAGCTAGCGAATGCATGCCACGCGAGCTCCTCCTCACATCCAGTACGCGACGGGAGCCCGAGGGAGTGCTCTGGGCACTGCAGACGTTCGCAACACAAATTGTAGGTGCTCACGTCCTCGTCCGGGTGGACAACCAGGCCGTTATGTTCATCTTGCGCAAGGGGGGATCCCGTCAGGCGGACCTTACGTTGACATGCCAAGCGATCATCCAGTTCTGTCTCGGCAACACCATACGCCTCGCGATCGAATGGATTCCGAGAGAGCTCAACGCCCAGGCGGACGACCTATCCAAGCTGCAAGATAATGATGACTACTCCCTACACGCGCCTTGGTTTCGCCTCCTAGACCGTCGCTGGGGGCCCCACACGATTGATCTATTCGCTAACGCCCGGAACAGTCAAGTCCAGCGCTTCTGCTCCAAGATACCGCACCCCGACGCGTTCGCTGTCGATGCATTTTCCATTTCTTGGAAAGGCGAGAGATGCTTTGCCTTCCCGTCGCCGCACTTAGTCCCCGCTACACTCCGCCATGCCGAACTCACGCAGACGGAACTCACGCTGGTAGTTCCCCAGTGGACCGGAGCGTCATGGTGGCCGCTTCTCCAGCCGTCCACCCACGCGTGGGCCCCAGCTGTAGTAGCACACCTTGCCCTTGCCCAAGGCAGTCAATGCCTTCGGGCAGGTTCACACACCACTGCATTTTCTGGTCTCGGATTGCCTCATAGCCCAATCATCGCATTGCGTGTAAACTATGCAATCTAATAAAATTAATTAATGTGTTATTTCAGGACTTTTGGGCAAACTACAGCAACAATTGATACACGTGATTAGCCACGTTCGCGCACCATCTACAATCGAGACGTACCAACCTTATTGGCAGCGATTTCGCACCTTCTGTACCCAAGTTAAGCTCGACTTCCTACCGGCAACCGACCTGACGCTAGCGCTGTATCTCATCCATGCGCTCAACAACAAGGCAACTCTCTCCGCGATCAACCTCACATGTTCGGCAGTAGCCTTTGCCCACCGCATGACCGGCGAAGTCTCCCCTACGATCGGACCATTCACCCTGCAAGTGCGAGAGTTCGCCAAGAGACATGGTCCCCGGCCTGCCAGGACCAAAGAACCCATATCTCTCCATCAAGTGCACGACATGGCCCGTCCCTTCCTCGAATCATCGATTCCTGCGGAATATCAGAAAGGTTTGATTCATCTTCTCATGTTTTCGGCGTTCTTGCGCTACTCTGACCTCGTATCGCTCCAGTGGAACGATGTATAGTTCGAGGAGAAGGCAATGTGGCTGCTCATCCCGCACTCCAAGACGGACCAGGAAGGGAGGGGTGTCTGGATCCCAGTGGCAGCAATTTCTGGCCCATACTGCCCAGTGCGGTGCACACGCAAATTCATACGCATCGCAGGCCTCACAAAGGTGCCAAATGGACCGCTGATAAGAGTTTTCCCAAAAAACTCGCAAGCCACGCCGGGCGACAAATCGCCATCCTACGTCACGATCAGAAACTGGTGTCTCGCGGCCGGCAGGCAGGCTGGACTGGATGTCACGCACATCAGAACCCACTCGTTCCGCAAAGGTGCAGCCACTGCGGCGGCAAGCCTCGGAGTTCCTGACCGGCTCTTCAAACGCATGGGCCGATGGCGCAGCGACAGCGCGAAGGAGATGTACGTTACGATCGCGCAGGATCAGCTCATCTCCCTCTCCACGTAGTTGCAGGATCCTTCGACGGCTCCTTCACCCGCCACGCATCAGCTATCAATTGAACGGCACCGCCAGCCCCGACTGCACTTGCCTTAGAAGACCCATATGAAATGATAACGCTGCCTTTGCAAGTCAGCCTAAGTAGACTTTCACAATATGATAAATTTTGAAAGTGTAATGTAATGTAACACTTTCTAAAATTTTGTATTGTGAAAAGGGGTACGTGGCCAGCACAGCAAAGGTAGCGCCGAAGCGCTACTCACCCTCTTTTGCCTACAAAGGAGGGACGTGGGGACATTCGTCCCCACCCACGTTTTCATTTCTCAATTTGTAGTTCTTATTTCCCACCCGCCCACCCAATTGTGTATGTTGTTATGTAGATTTGTATACGACGAGAACGATCTACTAGAACCCATATGAAATGATAATGCTGGCCCATATGAAATGATAACGCTGCCTTTGCAAGTCAGCCTAAGTAGACTTTCACAATTACCACGGTAAGCGAAGTCGCAGAAAAAACCTGCTTGCATAAAGTCCACAATGCCAATACGTACAATAGAAAATATCACTAACCGTACACTCATCTAGTGCCCTGCACACCTTCCGAGCCCTGTGAGTTGTCTTCCCTCCCAGTCCAGGGCGCTTCTTGTAATATCATAGACAATAGACATATATGCTTTTTGTCCTCTAATCATCCAACACACTAGGTTTTCCTCTTTAACGCATCGGCAACTAGCATTCGCACACTCCTGTTGCTGAGTGCTGCATCCCTAGCGCTCTCTGCATCAACAAAGCACCCAGCTGCCAGCAGAATAGCAGTGGTTACTATTCTTTCCATCTTTGCCCCAACCCTCACCATCTCCTCAACCGTCCTTCCCATGCTATCCCCCTCATCATCCCCCCCTACCTCCCCCTTCACACTCCCCGTCCTCTCCTCCATCCCCTCCCTCCCCTCCATCCCCTCTTCCCTTTCAGCAACCACTATCGCCCTCCTCACACAGCTCTCCGCCTCCTCTGCCCCAACCCCTGCCAGCTCCCCCACCACCCTCACCGCTCTCTTAAAGAGCTTCTCGTTACTCACTCTAAGGTCCACCATGCGGTTACTGTACACTTTGCCTAAAAGCACATGCGCCCCGCTACTTGCAACGTTGAGCGCAAATTTTACTGCTAGTTGTGCAAAGAGGTCGGTACGGGGGAGGAGAGGCGCGGCGGAGGGAGCGGGAAGGGAGACAGTGACATGGAGGAAGGTGGGACTGAGGGGTTGTGGGGAAGGAGAGGAGAAATAGGAGGGCATGGGGGAGGAGGTGGAGGACGCGGAGGAGGAGGATAGAGAGGAGGGGGAGGAGGAAAAAGGGAGGTCTGAGAAGAGAGCAGATGCTGATGCCATGGGCTTGGGTTGCCGCTTCCTGTTTGGTGCAGCACCTGTTACTGCGTCAGCCTCTGTATCAATTCCTGCTACAGCTATTAGTGGTGCTTCAGCTTCAGCCTCTGCTCCAGTCACTGCTGCTGCACCTTCTGCTGCTGCTGTTTCACCACCAAGGGGCTTCTGAGTAGACTCAGAAGCTTGACCCGTGGCGTGTTTAGATGTGTTTTGAGTCGACTCAGAAGCTTGACCCGTGGCGTGTTTAGATGTGTTTTGAGTCGACTCAGAAGCTTGACCCGTGGCGCTACTGTGAAGCACATGCTCGGTTTCATCCCCATCCACTGACTCCCACTCACTCCCTTCCTCGCTGTCCTCCTCAGTCCCCTGATCAGATGCACCGTCTGCCTTCTCCTTAGCTACAGCCAATCGCTCCTCTTGTAACTCCCTCCCTACCAGCACCCCAGAATCGCTACTTCCCCCTTCCTCCTCTTCGTCCTCCTCCCCTCCCTCCTCCCCTCCCTCCTCCCCTCCCTCCCCCACTCCCTCCTCCCCTTCCTCCCCCTGCCCTCCTGCTCCACTCTCCCCTTGATCACCCCCCTCCTCCTCTCCCTCCTCATCCTCCTCCCTCCCCTCCTCCTCCCCCTCCTCCTCACTCCCTTCCACTTCACTCTCCTCCCCTTCCTCCTCTTCCTCCCGCTCCTTCCCCTCCTCCACCCCATCCTCATCATCATACACCATTAAGAGCCGGTCGTGAGGAGCCACACCGACACTTAGCAAAGCGAGGGACAGCAGCCCCTGCTTGGCTCGTGTGTGGAGGGCGGTGAGGAGCGGTAGAGGGAACAGCTGTGGCTGTAGCACGTGTGACTCTAACAGGAGAATTGTGTCGTTGGCACTGGGGGTTTGCAAACAACAGGCAGGGAAGCAAGGGAGGGAGAAAAAGGAGGAAAGCAACGAATGTTGAGTGTGAGTTTAGAGGAGCTTGGACGTGGAGCAATGAGCCACACCAATACTTAGCAAAGCGAGGCACATCAGTCCCTGCTTGGGCCGTGTGTGGAGGGCGGTGAGGAGAGGGAACAGCTGTGGCTGTAGCACGTGTGACTCTAACAGGAGAACCGTGTCGTTGGCACTGGAAGCAGCAAGCGAGGGAGGAAGAGGAAAAGAAGGGAGGAAACAAACGAAAGGTGGGTGAGCAGCGGGGGGAAGAGGGAAATGCTGTAGAAAATCGTGAGGTGCCACACCGACACTTAGCAAAGCAAGGGACAGCAGCCCCTGCTTGGCTCGTGTGTGGAGGGCGGTGGGCAGCGGGAGAGGGAGCAGCTGTGGCTGTAGAACATGTGATTTTAACAGGAGTACAGTGTCGTTGGCACTGGAAGATATGGAAACAGCAGGGGTGGTTGGGAAAGAGGACGGGAAGGAAGGGAGGAGTAAGAAAGAGGAAAGGAACAAAATATGAGTGCGAGAATAGCGGAGCGGGGACGAGCGGCAGGGAAGCCACACCGACACTTAGCAAAGCAAGGGACAGCAGTCCCTGAGCAGGAAAGAAGGAAAGGGGAGTTGTGAGAGGGAGAAGAAAAAGCTGTGGCTGTAGAATGTGGGCAGGAAGAGGTTGAGATAACCTCCTTCAGAAAGCATGGACTTCAACGCTGATTGACTTTTACACTTCTGGCGTGGATTTGAGACGTCTCAAAAATTATAAAAAAAACACTCTTCTTTAAGCTCCTTGAGAAAGCATAGGCCTTCAACGCTGATTGACTTCTTCACTTCTGGCTTTTTTGTGTTTGTATATATATTTACGTATATGTATATATATATATTTTTAGAATTCACTCTTTTTTCCATTTTTTTTTTCAATATCGACTTCAACGCTGATTGACTTTTACACTTCTGGCGTGGATTGGTGAGAGGGACGAGTGAGCGAGAGGTTGCTGCACTGCATGCGGGTTGCTGTGCCGTGTGGTTGGAAGAACCCTGCCAAGAAAGTATTTGTGCTAGTTGATGGTCACTAGATGCGGTGAACTTAAAAACCCCAAATAAGAAACGCTCACCGTGCGTTGGACACAGTAATTCGATGAACTGAATATGGAACCCTGACCAGAAATTTCAACCAGAAACACTGACCGTATGGTGAAAAGAACCGTGTCAAGAAAGTGGTCTGGGTGCGGATGGCTCTGGCGTGCATTGGTGAGACAGTGAGTTGGACCAGAGGGTCCAGGTGCGGTACGTACCACAGAGCATACTCGGCAAAGATAGCAGGCAGCTTACTGCTAGCTCACCGTGTGGTGTAGTTTTGAGACGTCTCAAAACTAGACGTCTCAAAACTAAGCGTGTCAATACTCGGCAGGGATAGCAGGCAGCTTACTGCAAGCAAGCTCACCGTGTGGTGGGGAGGACTTGGTCGAGAAAGTAGTCTGTGCTGATTGCCTTGAGTGGCTCTGGCGTGGCTTGGCGAGAGAATGAGTGGTGCACTACACTGCATGTGGGTTGCTGGGTCTAGCAGGCGCCTAGCTCACCGTGTGGTGGGGAGGACTTGGTCGAGAAAGTAGTCTGTGCTGATTGCCTTGAGTGGCTCTGGCGTGGCTTGGCGAGAGGCTGAGTGGGCACTGCACTACACTGCACTACACTGCATGTGGGTTGCTGGGTCTAGCAGGCGCCTAGCTCACCGTGTGGTGGGGAGGACTTGGTCGAGAAAGTAGTCTGTGCTGATTGCCTTGAGTGGCTCTGGCGTGGCTTGGCGAGAGGCTGAGTGGGCACTGCACTACACTGCATGTGGGTTGCTGGGTCTAGCAGGCGCCTAGCTCACCGTGTGGTGGGGAGGACTTGGTCGAGACAGTAGTCTGTGCTGATTGCCTTGAGTGGCTCTGGCGTGGCTTGGCGAGAGGCTGAGTGGGCACTGCACTACACTGCATGTGGGTTGCTGGGTCTAGCAGGCGCCTAGCTCACCGTGTGGTGGGGAGGACTTGGTCGAGACAGTAGTCTGTGCTGATTGCCTTGAGTGCCTCTGGCGTGAATTGGCAAGAAGGTGAGTGTGATGGGGTATGTGCCACTGACCATATTGGTCAAACATAGCACGGATTGCGAGACGTAGCAGGCGCCTAGCTCACCGTGTGGCGGGGAGGACTTGGTCGAGAAAGTAGTCTGCGCTGATTGCCTTGAGTGCCTCTGGCGTGAATTGGCAAGAAGGTGAGTGTGATGTGATGGGGTATGTGCCTGCCACGGACCATATTGGTCAAGCATAGCACGGATTGCGAGACGTAGCAGGCGCCTAGCTCACCGTGTGGAGGGGAGGACTTGGTCGAGAAAGTAGTCTGTGCTGATTGCCTTGAGTGCCTCTGGCGTGAATTGGCAAGAAGGTGAGTGTGATGTGATGGGGTATGTGCCTGCCACGGACCATATTGGTCAAGCATAGCACGGATTGCGAGACGTAGCAGGCGCCTAGCTCACCGTGTGGAGGGGAGGACTTGGTCGAGAAAGTAGTCTGTGCTGATTGCCTTGAGTGCCTCTGGCGTGAATTGGCAAGAAGGTGAGTGTGATTTGATGGGGTATGTGCCTGCCACGGACCATATTGGTCAAGCATAGCACGGATTGCGAGACGTAGCAGGCGCCTAGCTCACCGTGTGGAGGGGAGGACTTGGTCGAGAAAGTAGTCTGTGCTGATTGCCTTGAGTGCCTCTGGCGTGAATTGGCAAGAAGGTGAGTGTGATGTGATGGGGTATGTGCCTGCCACGGACCATATTGGTCAAGCATAGCACGGATTGCGAGACGTAGCAGGCGCCTAGCTCACCGTGTGGAGGGGAGGACTTGGTCGAGAAAGTAGTCTGTGCTGATTGCCTTGAGTGCCTCTGGCGTGAATTGGCAAGAAGGTGAGTGTGATGTGATGGGGTATGTGCCTGCCACGGACCATATTGGTCAAGCATAGCACGGATTGCGAGACGTAGCAGGCGCCTAGCTCACCGTGTGGAGGGGAGGACTTGGTCGAGACAGTAGTCTGCGCTGATTGCCTTGAGTGCCTCTGGCGTGAATTGGCAAGAAGGTGAGTGTGATGGGGTATGTGCCACTGACCATATTGGTCAAACATAGCACGGATTGCGAGACGTAGCAGGCGCCTAGCTCACCGTGTGGCGGGGAGGACTTGGTCGAGAAAGTAGTCTGCGCTGATTGCCTTGAGTGCCTCTGGCGTGAATTGGCAAGAAGGTGAGTGTGATGTGATGGGGTATGTGCCACTGACCATATTGGTCAAGCATAGCACGGATTGCGAGACGTAGCAGGCGCCTAGCTCACCGTGTGGAGGGGAGGACTTGGTCGAGAAAGTAGTCTGTGCTGATTGCCTTGAGTGCCTCTGGCGTGAATTGGCAAGAAGGTGAGTGTGATGTGATGGGGTATGTGCCTGCCACGGACCATATTGGTCAAGCATAGCACGGATTGCGAGACGTAGCAGGCGCCTAGCTCACCGTGTGGTGGGGAGGACTTGGTCGAGAAAGTAGTCTGCGCTGATTAACTTCAGTGGTTCTGGCGTGGCTTGGCGAGATGAAGAGTGGGATACAGTAGCAGCAACAGAAGCAGCAAAAGCCCGGAAGGGAAAGAACCAAGAGCTTGTGCTGCTGCTCCTGCTACTGCGTGCGGACCTAACTCACCGACTTTTGAGGCGCCTCAAAAGCTTGTGCTGCTACTCCTGCTACTGCGGACCTAACTCACCGTGTGGTGGGGAGAATCTCAAGCAGAAAGTAGTCTGTGCTGATTGACTTTAACGGCTCTGGCGTGGGCTGGCGATAGAGTGAGTCGGATGCAGCAGGAGAAGAGGCAGAAGCAGCAGAAGCCCGGAAGGGAAAGAACCAAGAGCTCGTGCTGCTACTCCCGCTAGTGCTCGCCTCGCTGCCCCTGCCGGTCCTCTGTCTTGTTGCTGCATCTGCTACCTGAGACCTGCTGCTGTTTTTCTCGTTTTCACCTTCCCTAGCCCCTGCCTTGCTTCTCCTGCTGCTGCTCCTCCGGATGTTGCGCCTGCTTTTGCTGCTGCTGCTGCTGCTGCTGCTGCTGCTGCTGCTGCTGCTGCCACTAGCAGCAGATGAGCCCAGGGGATCGACTGTGTGCTGGTTCAACGGACGAATCAGGCGGTGCCACGTGGAGGTGAGGAAGCCTTGGAACGAGCCTGGCCGCGCTCCAAAGGTGGGGACCTGCTCAGAGGCATCTGTGTGGGGAAGAGGGGATGAGAGGAGGAAGGGAGGCTAAATACTGAAAGGCTTGGAAGGAAGGAACGAGCCTGGCCGCGCTCCAAAGGTCGGGACCTGCTCTGATGCGTCTGCGTGACAAAGGGGGGCTGAGAGGAGGAAAAGAGAAGATAAAGGAGGAGGGTGGAGGTGAGAAAGCCTTGGAAGGAGCCTGGCCGTGCCGTGCCCCAAAGGTGGGGACCTAATCCGAGGCATGTGTGTGGGAAAGAGGGGATGAGAGGAGGAAGAGAGGAGGAAAAGAGGAGGAAGAGAGGAGGAAAAGAGGAGGAAGAGAGGAGGAGCGAGGAGGAAGAGAGGAGGAAGAGAGGAGGAAAAGAGGAGGAAGAGAGGAGGAGCGAGGAGGATAAGGAGTGGAGGCGAGGACGGCTTGGAACGAGCCTGGCCGAGCTCCAAAGGTGGGAAACTGCTCTGACGCGTCTGTGTGGGAGGACGGGGGGGATCAGAGAAGATAAAGAGGAGGATGGAGGAGTACAGAAGATTAAGGACAGGGAAAGGCTTGGAAGGAGCCTGGCCGAGTTCCAAAGGTGGGAACCTGCTCTGACGCGTCTGTGGGGGAGGAGAGGGGGAGGGAGGGAGCGAGATAGGGAGATGAGAGGAGAGAAAGGAGGAGGGAGGAACGAAGAAGCCTTGGAAGGAGCCTGGCCGAGCTCCAAAGGTAGGAAACCTGCTCTGATGCGTCTGAGGGAGAGAGGGGGGAAGGGAGAAGAGAGAGGAGGGGAGGAGGGAGGAGGACGAAGGGGAATCTCCTTATTAGAAGAGTAAGGGACTCACCGTCCCACCCCACACACTTCTGAGAATTCTAAAGCACGATACAAGCGTGGGCGCAAGCACAAATCTCAACTATCAGCCCCACGATCCCGAGTGAGTCGTCTCCAATATACATGACACGGCCACCAGTGCTGATGGAGCGACTGTGATGGGCGCATCACAGGGATTGCTCTAGAATACACACTTCTCATCTCTCGCTCTCTCACCTATAAGGCCAACAAGGCCAAGCGAGTCGTCTCCAATGTACATCACACGGCCACCAGTGCTGATGGCGCGATGGAAGAGACAGGTGAGGGCCTGGTGTGGAGAGGAGTAGGGGTGGAAAGAGGTGGGGAGAGGTGGGGCATCAAGCCCACCAGAGGCACCAGGCCCAGTGAGTGTGAGTCGTCTCCAATGTACATGGCCCAGCTGCCCGTGCTGATGGCGTGATGGAAGAGACGAGTGAGGGCCTGATGAGGGGGCGGGGGAGAGAAGGGGTGGGGAGAGGTGGGAAGTGGTGGAAAAAGGGGGGCATCAAGCCCACCACCAGGCGGACCAGGCCGAGTGGGTGTGAGTCGTCTCCAATATACATGACCCGGCCACCAGTGCTGATGGCGCGATGGAAGAGGCGAGTGAGGGCCTGATGGAGGGGGGGGAGGGGGAAGGGGGATGGGTGGGAGAGTTGGAAAGTGCTTACTGCAATGCAATATACATGACCCGGCCACCAGTGCTGATGGCGCGATGGAAGAGACGGGTGAGGGCCTGATGGGGGGTGGGGGGAAGAGGCTGGAATGGGTGGTACCAGGTGCACCAGCACCACCCGAAAGCCACCAGTCCCACCAGGCCTAATAGGTCGTCCCCAATGCACATGACCCAGCTGCCAGTGCTGCTGGAGTGATGGAAGAGACGAGTGAGGGCCTGGTGTGAGGGGTGAAGTGGGGAGGGGGAAGGGGAGGGGGGGAGAGTTGGGAAGGGGGGGTGCCAGGCGCACCAGCACCACCCTAAAGCCACCAGTCCCGCCAGGCCTAATAGGTCGTCTCCAATGCACATGACCCAGCTGCCAGTGCTGATGGCGCGATGGAAGAGACGAGTGAGGGCCTGGTGTGGGAGAAGGGAGGGTGGGGCTTAGTGGGAATATACGCTTATAGCGTATATACGTGTATCGTATATACGCGAACGTATATAGGCTAAACGCTTAAGGGTCGATTTGGTAATACGCTTTTTCGGGCAGGTAAAAAACTATCCCGGGCAGGGTGAAAAAAACGTCGTGCTCAAGATTAAGAAGGTGATCCCTATTCTCATTAAGACTTTCGTAGCATTTCCCTAAGTCTGAACGGCGATTGGGGTGGGACGTGGAGTAGACACTAAAAGGAGAAGTAGGTAGGAATCGGAAGGAGCTCTGCTGTTAGAAAGCGGGAATGCCAACTAGAAATGACGACTGGAATTTTGCTGGCTGGTAAGTAGCGTGAGTGGGGTTTGGTGGGGGACGTTTTGGACAGGTTGGAATTCGTAGATAATATGGGTTCCAATGCGGTACCAAGCTAATGTTCAAATTTGAACTGCCTGCAACTTCGAAGGCCCACTCCCGCTTCCCTAGACCGTCAAATTGCATTTCGACTTAGGCGAAATGCTCAGCAGAAGATTCCGCATCTTTCTGTATACAAGCGATTTTTTTCCCTGGGCAGCCCGAATTTTTTTTTGATAGCGTATAGCGTATTAGCTAGCGTATTGCGTTTTGCGTACACACGCTAGCGTGTATACGCTATACGCTTTAGGGTTTGAGCGTATATTCCCACTAAGGGGTGGGGGGGATGGGATGGGTGGGGGAATGGGTGGGGAAAAGGGGATACCAGGCGCACCAGGCCGAGTGAGTCATTCGCTATGTGCATGACCCGGCCACCAGTGCTGCTGGAGTGATGGAAGAGGCGGGTGAGGGCCTGGTGTGGGGGGGGGAGGGAGGGAGAAGGGGTGGGAAGAGATGGGGAGAGGTGGGGAAGGGGGGGCATCAAGCCCACCAGGCGCACGAGGCCTAATAAGCCATCCCCAATGTACATGACTTGGCCGGCAGTGCTGATTGAGCGATGGAAGAGGCGAGTCAGGGCCTGATGTGGGGGGAGAAGAAGGGGTGGAAAGAGGTGGGAAGAGATGGGGAGAGGTGGGGAAAGGGGGTATCAAGCCCACCACCAGGCGCACGAGGCCTAATAAGCCATCCCCAATGTACATGACTTGGCCGCCAGTGCTGATTGAGCGATGGAAGAGGCGAGTCAGGGCCGGATGTGGGGGGAGAGAGGGGAAAAAAGGTTGCTGCGTAACCATAAAATCACAGTACCAAACCTTGGAAGTAGCTTTGTGTTCTGAGAGGTAAAAGAAAAGGAAGATACAACTATGAATAACTCACCACAATTCCGGGTAATTGCTGGTAAATGCCCCTCATCGCCCCCTCGTAAGCCGCAATGACATCGCCGTACCGAGCCGCCGGGGCAGCCTCGGTTCGGCCCCAGCCTACCCGTGCCGCCCGCCGAACCGACGTGGTGTCTTGGGGAGTGAGCTCCGGGGGAGGGTTGATGAGTAGGAGGGGCACTCCTGCATCTGATATGGGGGGAGAAGCGGGGAGAAAGGGGGAGAGGGGGTAAGCTCTTAGAATTCTTCCCTTTGAGAGTGAGCTCGGGGGAAGGGTTGATGAGTAGGAGGGGCACTCCCGCATCTGATAGTGGGGAGAGAAGGGGAGGGGAATCAGGGAATGAGCTTTAGCAGTGCATGCTACCTTTGGGGGTGAGCTCGGGGGGAGGGTTGATGAGCAGAAGGGGCACTCCCGCATCTGATATGAGGGGAGAAAAGGGGAGAAGGGGGGTAGAGGAGTGAGCTTTAAGAGTACAGAAATTCTTCGCATATCGTTTCTGCCACTTGGTGGCTTCAGAAGTGAGCTCCAGGGGAGGGTTGATGAGCAGGAGGGGCACTCCCGCATCTGACATGGGGGGAACAGGTGGGAAGGGAGGAATCCGAGGACTGCCAAAAGCTATCCTTGGGAGTGAGCTCTGGAGGAGGGTTGAGGTGACTTTTGAGTCGACTCAAAAGTCAAAAGCTATCCTTGGGAGTGAGCTCTGGAGGAGGGTTGAGGTGACTTTTGAGTCGACTCAAAAGTCAAAAGCTATCCTTGGGAGTGAGCTCTGGAGGAGGGTTGAGGTGACTTTTGAGTCGACTCAAAAGTCAAAAGCTATCCTTGGGAGTGAGCTCTGGAGGAGGGTTGAGGTGACTTTTGAGTCGACTCAAAAGTCAAAAGCTATCCTTGGGAGTGAGCTCTGGAGGACGGTTGAGGTGACTTTTGAGTCGACTCAAAAGTCAAAAGCTATCCTTGGGAGTGAGCTCTGGAGGAGGGTTGAGGTGACTTTTGAGTCGACTCAAAAGTCAAAAGCTATCCTTGGGAGTGAGCTCTGGAGGAGGGTTGAGGTGACTTTTGAGTCGACTCAAAAGTCAAAAGCTATCCTTGGGAGTGAGCTCTGGAGGAGGGTTGAGGTGACTTTTGAGTCGACTCAAAAGTCAAAAGCTATCCTTGGGAGTGAGCTCTGGAGGAGGGTTGAGGTGACTTTTGAGTCGACTCAAAAGTCAAAAGCTATCCTTGGGAGTGAGCTCTGGAGGAGGGTTGATGAGGAGAAGGGGCACTCCCGCATCTGATATGGGAGGGGGGGGAGGGTAGGAAGACATGAGGTGTAAGTCTTAAAAACACCCTCTCTACACGAGACGTCTCGAAAACACCCTCTCTACAGGTAGGAAGAAATGAGGTGTAAGAAAATGGCGACATCTTATTGTGATTTGCCACGTGGTGGCTTCGGGAGTGAGCTCTGGAGGAGGGTTGATGAGCAGAACGGGCACTCCTGCATCTGGTATGAGAAGTGGAGAGGGGAGAAGAAATGACGTGTAAGATGATGGTGACATATTGTTTCCCTTTCCCACATCCTGGCTTCGGAAGCGAGCTCGGGAGGAGGGTTGATGAGCAAGAGGGGCACTCCTGCATCTGGTATGAGAAGTGGAGAGGGGAGAAGAAATGACGTGTAAGATGATGGTGACATATTGTTTCCCTTTCCCACATCCTGGCTTCGGAAGCGAGCTCGGGAGGAGGGTTGATGAGCAAGAGGGGCACTCCTGCATCTGGTATGAGAAGTGGAGAGGGGAGAAGAAATGACGTGTAAGATGATGGTGACATATCGTTTCCCTTTCCCACATCCTGGCTTCGGAAGCGAGCTCGGGAGGAGGGTTGATGAGCAAGAGGGGCACTCCTGCATCTGATAGAGGTGGAGGGGAAAAGTGGAGGTAGAGAGGTAGGTCGGAAAAGGGGGAGAAGGGGGAGAAGAAATGAAGTGCAAGAAACACGGCGACACTTTGTTTTGATTTACCACTTGACGTTTGAGAATTCTCAAAGTCACATCAACAAAATCCACAAGGTCTTTGAGGCGCCTCAAAAATCGTTTATGTGAGGTGGCATGGCATGGCATGGCATGGCATGGCAAGAACACTTGAACAGGCTGGATTCCACAAGGTGGCCTCCACACGAAATCTGATCTGACTGCCAGCCAGCACTCACAAGCTCAGCAGGCTGAAATCAACACACAACCACCCGCGCTCATCCGAGTGCCAGCACTCACAGACAGCTTCTCAGGGCAGGCAGGCAGGCAGGCAGGCAGGCGCAGCACTCAGGCAATCACGCTCACATTGAAGCCAGCTCACACACACGCCCACATGCTTACATGCTCATCTGATTGCCAACAGCCACACGGACACTCACAGCTTCTCAGGGCAGGCAGGCGCAGAACTCAGGCAATCACGCTCACATTGAAGTCAGCTCACACACACGCCCACATGCTTACATGCTCATCTGATTGCCAACAGCCACACGGACACTCACAGCTTCTCAGGGCAGGCAGGCAGGCGCAGCACTCAGGCAATCACGCTCACATTGAAGTCAGCTCACACACACGCCCACATGCTTACATGCTCATCGGACTGCCAACAGCCACACGGACACTCACAGCTTCTCAGGGCAGGCAGGCGCAGCACTCTGGCAATGGCTCGGCCGGAAATGGTTGAAAATGGTCTCCATAAGATGGGACTGCTGCAACAGCAGCCCCACGGCCTCTACTCACACCCACCCCCCACACGCTCAACTCGTTTGACTGCCAGCACTCACAGCTTCCAAGGGCGGGCAGACGCAGCACTCTGGCAATGGCCCGGCTGAAGATGGTCTCCAGAAGGACCTTGGTGGCAGTGCCGCCCTTGAGCCGCGTGGACCCTGTGACGGTCTCCTGTGGTTGTTTAGCAGCAGCAAGGATATGAGCAGAGAAGGGAAAGTTCAGTTGAAGGACCTTGGTGGCACTGCCGCCCTTGAGCCGCGTGGACCCTGTGACGGTCTCTTGTGTGGTGAGATGTCATATTGGCATGGTGGCATGGTGGCGTGGTGGCATGGCGGTAAGGGGGTAGGGTTGAGTTAGAAGGATTAGAAGGGTTGAGTCACGGCTCGGAATGATGATGGCATGGCGTCCGACAAGCTCCGGCCTTTCCCACCCCTCCCCACCCCTCCCACCCTACCTACCGGGCCAACAGCAGGAGAGAGGATGAAGTGCCTTGGGGCAGTCCCCTCTGCTTCAGCAGCTTCGATGCGAGCCCTCATTTCTGAAAGCACGGACGGGAAGGTCACGCCTGGAGCACCCTGGTTGGGAATGGAAAGGGAGTGGAAAGGAAGGAGTGGGGAAGACAGTAAGAGGTGGTGTCTGTTTCAGCAGCATCAATGCGAGCCCTTAGCTCTTGAAGGACAGACTGGAAGGTGACACCTGCAGCACCCTGGAAGGGGATGGGGGCGTGAAACAGAGGGAGAGAGAGGCAAGCAAAGAATCTCACTCGCACTTGCATCACCTGCAACCACCCTCCATCCCCACACCACACACCCTTCATGCCCTCACCCACCCACCTTGGTGTTTGGCGCGAGAGAGGGCGGATTGAAACCCATGACTGCAACGGCGTAGTGCGAATGGGAGAGGGTGTACTGGCGGGATGGGAAAGGAGGAAAGAGAATGGAGCAATGGAGTGTGCATACTGTGTGTATTGTGCATGTGTGCTTATAAGTGCAAGGATTAAGCCCATGACAGCAACAGAAGAGCATATTGCTTGACTTGCGTGACACACGCTTGACTTGTGACCCACCTTGATTTCTTACACATGCATGACTTGTTTGACCCATGCTCCCCCCAGTTTCAACCCTATCTTGACTTGTTTGACCCACCTTGACTTGTGCTGCCACATAGGGAGCGCTGAGGCCACAGCTGATGCCGATCTGAGGCAAGACAGAGAAGTGGGGGGGTGCAAGAGGGTGGTGAGGAGGGTGGTGAGAAGTGCGGGGGTGCAATAGGGTGGTGAGGAGGAAGTAGAAGATGCAGAGCGGTTTGAAAGTAGACACAGCCACACAGGTGATCTGCGTGTCAATTTCACGTAGGCTTTGAGCCGTCTTAGGAGAAAACTTTGGTGCGGAGTTGAGACGTACACGTAACAAGGCGAGACATCCTCGAAAAAATATTAATTCACTACTGCAGCACACAGGGAGCTCAACGGCTGTTGCAGGGATTGAGAATTCTCAGAAAATCCCTCAGAATTCTCTAAAAAACCCTGCGATCCTAAAACTATCCCTATAACAAAATAAGTATCCCTAAAAAAAAATTCCGGAAAGAAAAGAACACAAGGTGATACCACGAGAATACTCGGAGCGCATGGATGCATCAGAACAAGATGAATGACTCACATAGAGCACTCGCCCGCACGGCTTCCCCCACGGGTTGCCTCTCCCTTCCACTCGCCTCAGAGCCGCCTCTGCTGCCTGCTGGTTGTCCTCCGCGCCCTCCTGCGCCTGGTGTGGTGGTACACAAGGGGTGACAGGGAGAACAGCGTGCAAGCTGAGGCATAGGGGGGTGGGGAGGGGAGGGGAGGGGGGGAGGTTTCACTGTGCTTCACTCCTCTCCCTTCCACTCGCCTCAGAGCCGCCTCTGCTGCCTGCTGGTCGTCCTCCGCCCCCTCCTGCGCCTGGTGTGTGTGTGTGCGGGGAAGGGGTCGAGGGAGTGAGGGAGGCAGGCAGATAGGGGGTAAAGAGAGTAAAGCGGGTGGCCCACTCGCAGAGCCTCAACTGGGGATCGCAGTGCTTCCACTCGCCTCAGAGCCGCCACAGCTGCCTCCTGGTTGTCCTCTGCCCCCTCCTGCGCCTGGTGTGGGGGGGTTGGTTGTGTGGGTCACAGGGAGAAGAGAAGGATGCGAGAGGAGGCATAGGGAGGGAGGTTGGGTAGGGAGGTGGAGGAGAGGGGTTCACTGCTTTCCCTCCTCTTGCGTCAATTAACTCGCCTCAGTGCCGCCACAGCTCCTGGTTGTCCTCTGTCCCCTCCTGCGCCTAATGTGGGGGGGTTGGTCGTGTGGGTCACAGGGAGAAGAGAAGGATGCGAGAGGAGGCATAGGGAGGGAGGTTGGGTAGGGAGGTGGAGGAGAGGGGTTCACTGCTTTCCCTCCTCTTGCGTCAATTGACTCGCCTCAGTGTCGCCACTGCTGCTTCCAGGTTGTCCTCCGCCCCCTCCTGTGCCTGGTGGTGTAGGGGAGGGTCACAGGGAGAGAAGAATACGAGAAGGGGGTCATGCTGCTTCCTCTCCCCTCCACTCGCTTCATAGCTGCCTCTGCTGCTTCCTGGTTGTCCTCCGCGCCCTCCTGCGCCTGGCAGGAGGTGTACGGGGGGATGACAGGAGGCATGGCGGTCACTCTGCCTCCCTTTGCCTCCACTCGCCTCAGTGCCGCCTCTGCTGCTTCCTGGTTGTCCGCCTCTGCGCCTGGCAGGGGATGACAGGAGGCATGGCGGTCACTCTGCCTCCCTTTGCCTCCACTCGATTCAGAGCTGCCACAGCCGGGGGTGAAAGGGAACGACGGGCGGATCGGAAGTAAAGGGAGGTTAGAAGCGGGGCGGGGGGCACGGACCGTGGTGCTTCCACTCGCCTCAGAGCGAGTGGAACTCGCCTCTGATATGAGCCGCCATATCAGAAGAAACTTTTTGAGAATTCTCAAAAACTCCCTCAGAGCGAGTGGAACTCGCCTCTGATATGAGCCGCCATATCAGAAGAAACTTTTTGAGAATTCTCAAAAACTCCCTCAGAGCGAGTGGAACTCGCCTCTGATATGAGCCGCCATATCAGAAGAAACTTTTTGAGAATTCTCAAAAACTCCCTCAGAGCGAGTGGAACTCGCCTCTGATATGAGCCGCCATATCAGACGAAAACTTCCCCATACAATGGCACGCCCGCATCTTCCACCCCCCTTCCCCTTCCCCCCCTTCTCTCCCCTCCCCCACTCCACACACACACCTCGAGTAGGGCTGGTAGCCCTCCTGCTATGAGGAAGTGGAAGCAGGGCGGCAGGCCGTATCTCCTGAGTACTGCGTTGAAACAGAGAACCACCTGCAGGTGATTTTTCAGGTGGTTGGTGGGTCAGGTGGTTGGATGTTTCATTGGTTCGATGGTTGGCGGTTCATTGAAATGAGAAATTTCTGCATAAATTAAGAAGAGCACAGGCTTTTTAGCCCTGATGCACAGTACTACGGAGAAAGGCCAGTGATTCTAGCATTACAGGTGCATAAAAACAAGGGCTCAGTGGACCAGCAGAGAATGAATGGACGAGGTGACGAGGTGGCTTTAGTCGACTCAAAAGTCCTTCAAACAAGGGCATTACAGTGAAACAAGGACTCAGTGGTCCAGCAGGGAATGAATGGACGAGACATTTTTATGCCTAAAAGGGAAAGTAAAGTGCAGAAGAAACACTTTAACATAATAATTATAGAAACAAGCAGACAGAGAGACAAACAAACACACACACGCAAACACACACACACACACACACACACACACACACACACACACACACACACACACACACACACACACACACACACACACAAAACGCCTGACATTAAGAATTATTTAAAATGTTAACAAGGAAGGACCTGACAGATGAGTCAAAAAAGCACCTGAAAGGCAATTCTGCCACTGGTGCCGGCACCTGACACCACCACTGCACTATCCTGGAGGTGAAGGTGGTGGAGGTGGGGGTGGGGTGATCATTGGAAGGGGAGATCGCAATTGGGAAGAGGGTAGGTGAGTATAGTGCTAGTAGAAAGTAGATGGAATGGATGAGTCACCTAAGCTCTGCCATTAGGACAAGTTACCTGTTGGAGTAGGACGAGTCACCTGCTGGATCCAGGTCGAAACTTTATACGTATGCTTCATGAGTATTGTGCTAGTAGAAAGTAGATGGGATGGATGAGAATGGGGAGGGAATGGGGATTCGAGATGAGAGATGAAGGGAAGGGAGAGCGAGAGCAATGAGGGATAGATGGATTGTCGAAACGAGAGTGTGGAATGTGGAAAGAGAAAGAGAAACAGGAAGAGGAAGGAGGAGGAAGAGCAAGCGAACGAGTAAGAAAAAGAGGAAGAGAAAAGAAGGAGGAAGGGAAGAGGAAGAGGAAGAGGAAAAGGAAGGCGAAGAGAAAGAGGACGAGAAAGAGGAAGAGAGAGGAAATGGCATGCCTTGGAGAAGGAGACGATTTCAGCCGCCACTGCTGTGAGCTGGTCGACCACTCGAATGGTCTGATGTAGAGAAAGGGGGGGTTTGGGTTGGACAGGGGAAACGAGGGTGGACCGGAGGGGAGGTAGGTGAGTGGACGGGGGGTAGGCAAGAGGGCAATTTCTAGAATTCTCAAAAGCCACTGCCGTGAGCTGATCGACCACTCGAATGGTCTGATATAGAGGAAAGGGAAGGTAGGAGGTGGGACGGGGGTGCACAGGTCGATTCTTGAGTCGACTAAAAAATCGACTTATCACACAAGGTAGGAGGAGGTGGGACGGGGGTGCAGCGGTGCGCACGAAGGGGAGGAAGGGGAAGTGGGAAGAGGTAAGGAGAGCAGGCGTTGGAGAAGGAAACAGTTTCAGCCGCCACTGCAGTGAGGCGATCAACCACTCGAATGGTCTGATGTCGAGAAGGGTGGCAGGGAGCGGGCAGGGGAAAGGGAAACGCAGGTGGGCAGGCTTGAGACTTTTCAAAAGCCACTGCTGTGAGCTGGTCGACCACCCGAATGGTCTGATATAGAGGCGGGGGGGGTTGGGTTGGACACGGGAAACGATGGTGGACGGGAGGGGAGGTAGGTGCGTGGACGGGAAATAGGTAAGTGGGCAATTTTTAGAATTCTCAGAAGCCGCTCCTGTGAGCTGGTCGACCACTCGAATGGTCTGATATAGAGGCGGACAGGGGCGGACATGGGGGAGGGGAGGGAAGGAGGTGAAAAATGGGCAAGGGAGAGGAATCAAAAGGAGTGGACAAAGCGTTAAGGAAATCCCCCCCCCCAGCATGTAGAGGAGAATCCCTGCACATCACAGCAGGACCCAAGAAAAGATTATATTACCCTCACTCTCTGCTCCATACTCCCCCCTCTGCGCTCCCCCCTCTGCGCTCCCCCCTCTGCGCTCCCCCCTCTGCGCTCCCCCCTCTGCACTTTCCCTCCCTGCAACCACTCTTCCCCCCTCTCTTTCTGCATCCCCTTACTGCGCTGCGCTCCCCTTCGCCACTCCCCCTCTTCGTGCATCACGCCTTAAAGAAATCTTGCAGCCGTTTTCACTGAGACTTGGAAAAGAGTGGGCTGGGAAAGTAAAACGTGGCAGAATACACGAAAGCGGCCTGCTTCAATCAGAGCACTCCTGGCAGGCAGGCTTATTCCTCTATAGAGTTTGCTCTAAACGAAGCAAAGTTGTCGTCAGCCCACAGAAGCTTTTTCGAGGTAGACCGTTTTCGCACGCTCACCTCTTCGTCCATCAGGCCGGGGTAACCCGCATAGCCGGCGAAAAGCTGCGCGTCGCACGCGCGGAAAATTCGCACGATTTCGTCCGGCGACGCGACGTCTATCGCCGAGGACATCTCATTCGGTCGCTCTGTGAGAGGGAGCTCGTGCGACCGCACTTGCGACCGCGAATGCGACATTGCATGCGACTGCTTATGCGACTGTCAATGCGGCAACGGTGCGATGCTGGGCTGGCAGGGACGATTCTATCTCGAGTTAACTCCAGCTACACCTCGTGTCTACTTATTACTTCGTTATAAGGCGCCCCAATACTGCTTCCTCATCTCGATTGTCAGTTTGCGTCTATACGCAAGCATTCGTAACCTCAACTCAAGTGATACAGCGCATGAAAGGCTGTGTGGTATACCGTATACTAGTCTGTGTTGGAGAATCGAGTTTCTGCCGCCCCAGCCCTTTGCACACAAGCAGCAGCAAGGGGGAATGTCGGCGATGAATCAGAGCTTCGGGAAGTACTTCGAAAGTTCCACCACCAATCAGATTTCAGCCAAAGACTCGATATAGTTCAAAGCTGCCTTCAAACCGAAGTGTTGGCAGTTTCTACAAGTTTCTACACATCAGAATCAGCTATAACAGAAATATCCAGAGTTTTCTTATTCATGCACCTCATGTGGCACTCAAAGTCACTCAAGGTCCATCCAATCTAGATTGTGCCCAAGTTACCAGGGAAGTTACATTGTCTATCAGCCTAGTTTGAGCTTTCAATCTGTCTTGTTTGTGATGCCTATAGAGTTGTGCTTTAGTGGGCTTGTTAATCTTGCACATAGTGAAGTTTTACCTCATCCAGTCAATTCCAGCAGCCCTGCTAAGACTTTCCAGCCAAGTTTCCAGCCCTCCAGTAGTCACAGCTACTCTGTTTTACAAGTTGGTATCAGAGCTTGTCGTTTCGATCAACCTAGCCCACCACGTTCCTATCCTAGCACCATACGAACATGGCGGGAGACAATCCATCTGGTCCTGCACTCCAGCCAGCCGGAGGAGCTTCAGAGTCAACATCAGCAGCTACTGGATTAGTGGAAGCAGTTGCACCAGGCAGTCCTTCAACAACATACTCACCACTCACCTCCTTCATGCCTAAGCTTCACCTCCCCAAGTTCAACGGCAAAGATTTTCCAACATGGGCAACTCAGTTTGAGCTCACTGCATCCCTTCTGGATCTGTGGCCTTACTACACTGGAGAAGCAGCCAAACCAGCAGCAGATGCTTCAGAAGCTGAAAAACGACTTTACGAACGACGCAACAAGGAGGCCTTCCTCTACCTACTCAATAGCATTCACGAGCAGCAGTTGAAGTCGCTCCTGCCCTGTTCTACCAAGGCAAACAGTGCAGAGGAAGCATGGAGCCGACTGAAGACTATGGACCAGTCAAAATCCGAGAGCAGCCAAGCCGAGATGTGGAGCCGCTTCATGAATCTGAAGATGGAAGAAGATGAATCAGCACAAGCCTACCTACAACGAGCTGAAGCAATGCTGGAGGAAGCAGCAGCGATCGGCTTGGAGATTCCAGAGTCTCTTTTCAAGACCGTCATCCTCACCGGCCTTACACCGGAGTGGGACACTTTCCGTGCAACACTACAAGCGCTCCCGCAGTCAATGAAGAGTCGTGCGTTCATCTTTGAGGCCCTTGTCAACGAGCAGCAGAGTCGAGACCTTGCACGGAACAAGCGGAGTGACGAAGGTGCGTGGAGTGCTGCAGCAGCCACAAGATATGGCAACCAATTCCAGAGGCAAGGAAATTTCAGCCCAAACCGCCCTCAACCCTACTACGGTACGAAATTTCAGTCACCTTCCAACCCATACAAACCCTCTCGTTTTCCTCAGTCAAGTCCTCCCTATAAGTCCAGTCACTATGTCCAGCCAAGGCCTTCGATTCCCAATCAATACCAGCCTAGGAATGCAAGAGTCAATATGCCAAGAGTCAATAATTTCAGCCAAGCCCCGAATGCTAAAAAGTTTAATTTTGAGTGTTTTTGTTGTCATGAGTGGGGTCACCCGTGGTATGCTTGTCCTAAGAAGCCTCCTAATTGGGTCCCCCCACCTCAGCTACTATCTGAAAAAGGTAAGGCAGCCATAGCAAATATAGCAAGTCATTCTACAAGTCAAGATGAGTCCAAAGAGTCCGATGGTCCTGTCCTTTTTAACGCTGCTACTTGCATGCACGTTTTCTCTACTAGTAGTGAGGAGTTTATTCTTGATAGTGGCTGCTCTGAAACCATGACTCCCTATCAGTCCATTCTCAAGGATTTTCAGCCCTCATATGACTCAAAAGCTGTGACTCTTGCTGATCTTGGCAAAGTACCAATCAAAGGAGTCGGCAAGCTTGAGTTCGAAAAGGATGGTAAGTCGTTTTGTGTCAATAAAGCTTTGTTTGTTCCTGATTTGGGAGCAAACTTGCTCTCAGCCGGACAACTCGAAGAGAAAGGTGCCTCCGTTCTCTTGCAAGGGGGGAAGGCCAAAGTGTGGGACAGTGCAGGAAATCTGGTGGCTGAAGGCGAGCGTACCGGGCGGCTCTACAAGATGAAGTTGGAGATTAAGCGCGGTGCTAGCAACACGAAGAACGACGTTGTCTCGCTTCCCGCTGTTTCAACCGATCAAGTCAACAACAAAGGGAGTATCTCCCAAGCTGAGGTATGGCATGCACGCTTGGGGCACGTGGGAGTGCAAGCATTGAAAGAGTTGGTAAATCACAAGAGCGTGGAAGGATTGAGTTTGAATGAAAGTGCAGTCAAGTCCCTTTCTTCCGTTCCATGTCCATCTTGTGTGGAAGGTAAACTAGCTAGAAAGCCATTCTTCCCTTCTAAGTCTCAGTCAAGGGACCTCCTAGAGTTGGTCCACACTAATGTCTTCGGCCCCATGCGAGACCCTACTCGAAACGGTAAGAGATATTTGGTGTCTTTCATTGATGACAAGAGTCGTTTCTCGTGGTCCTTTTTTCATCAACACCAAGGATGAAGTTCACAAGTGTTTCAAGCAATGGCTAGCACTTGTTGAGAGAGAGTCAGGGAAGAAGTTACTCACCTTGAGGTCGGATCGAGGAGGTGAGTACATGGGGAAAGCGTTTCAGGGGGAGTTGTTGGCATTGGGCATCAAACAACAGTTCACTTGTCCCTATAGTCCTCAGCAAAATGGAGTGGCAGAGAGGTTTCATCGCACTATCCAGGCTATAGCTACCACTTTCCTTCAGTTCAAAGGCCTTGACAAGCTCTGGTGGGGTGAGGCAATCACTATGGCAATTTATGTTCGCAACAGGAGACCCACAAGGCCCTTACCGGAAGGTGTAACGCCATATGAGGCTTGGTTTGGAGTTAAACCAGATCTGTCTATGCTTCATGTTTTTGGTTCCATGGCCCAATACCGTGTTCCAGATGCAAAGAGACTC